ACCCTAAACCCTAAATCCTAAACCCTAAACCCTAAACCTAAAACCCAAAACCCAAAACCCAAATCCTAAACCCTAATGGCCAGGTGGCCTCGTTACGCAGTCTGTCTCCAACGCCTTGGATGTGGCCGACGGAACCTCAGCAATTTTGCTAGGGTTTAGGGTTTAGGGTTTAGGGTTTAGGGTTTAGGGTTTAGGGTTTAGGGTTTAGGGTTTAGGGTTTAGGTTTTCCCTACTCCCCCCCCTCTATACTACCCCCCAGCCTAGGTTCCCCTCAAATAACCTGAATTTGGCTCAATTATCCCTAAAATGTCTCTCGAAACCCGAAACCCTAAACCCTAAGCCCTTAACCCTTAATTACGGGGGCAACCTGGGCAAAGGGAAGGGGGGGGGGGGGGGGGGGTGGGTAGTATAGAGGGGGGTAGTAGGGTAGGGGAACGGGTTTAGGGTTTAGGGTTTTAGTGTTTAGGGGTTTAGGGTTAAGGGTTTAGGGTTCCACGATCTTTGTTGGTAAGGCTCTAAACCCTGTCAAGCAAGATGTAAACCCTTTCATTCCTGGGTTAAGTGTTGGAGAAACGAACCCTAAACTGCAAACCCTAAACCCTAAACAACCCGAGTTTGGATGTAACCCATGAAGTATGCTTCCATTGTTGCCCATATCATGTCCGGACTGGTCCATGTCCACCTAACACCAAACCCAAAACCCTTCAACACGACTCCCTAATTAAACTTTATGCGCCCTGAACCCTTGAAAACCCTAAGCCCTACTATTCCCCTGGAGTTATTCCCCTGGAGTAGAGGCCCCAAAATGCGTACAGAAAATAATTCTGGGTACGTGGAGCTCCCGAAGAAAGCGCCTTAACCCGTATATACACCCCAAACCCTTAAAACTCTACGACCTGACACCTTTACGTATCCTGCGCGTCCGAAGTGGAACCCAAATCCTGCGGACTATCGTAATTCAGGCATACTCATGTGTGAACATATGTATGTGTGTATACACCTTAAATTTTAAAACCATCATAAGATTAATTGCAGCAATCAGCAATATCAACATGAGCGTCCTACTAATTTGTCGTCAGAACCAGGCTCCCTATATGAAGTAGGGTTTATATTGCTGTTTTTGGTGAGTGTCTGTAAGGTTCCCTTGTAATATTGGTGAGTGTATATGTTGGGTGTCCTTTTGGGGGTACAAGAAATATGTGCCGTACTTCATATGAGACGAAGGAGTGCTCCCCTTCGTCAATCCTCTGGGAGGTGCGGAAGATGCCCCTATACCCCAAAACCCTTAATTCCTAAAACCCTACACTCCGACTCCCTTAAACCCGAACTCCTAAACCCTGAACCCCCCAAGCCCTACTAAACTCCTAGACCCCAAGCCCTAAACCCTAAACGCTAAACCCTAAACCCAAAATCCTAAATCCTAAACCCTAAACCCACAACCCTAACTTGAAACCCCAAGGTGCTTTGGGGCATCCGCAGCGCGAGGACCACCCCGGCATCGCGCCCAGAGGGTTGTAGGGTTCAGGGTTGTAGGGTTGTAGGGTTGTAGGGTTTAGGGTTTAGGGTTTAGGGTTGTAGGGTTTAGGGTTTAGGGTTAGGGTTTAGGGTTTGGGATTTAGGGTTTAGGGTTTAGGGTGTATGGTTTAGGGAAGGGGTTGTTTGAGGGTTTAGGTTCTCCAAAACCCCTGAGCACTAAGAACCCCCAACCCTTGACCTACAACCCTAAACCTTAAACCCTAAATCCTAGAACCTTGAACCCGGGTACCCTAAGACCCGAAACCTAAATCCTAAAACCCTGAGCCCTAAACCTTCATTCAGGTCTTAGGGGAAACTAAGTTTGCTTGGGAGCTTTTGTTGGGGTTTAGGGTTTAGGGTTTAGGGTCTAGGGTTCAGGAGTTAGGGTTTAAGGCGGAGGGTCTTTTGAGGCTCTCGGGTTTAGGTAGGTGGGCCGGTGCATTGCCATGTGAAGTGACAGCACAAACGATGCAAAGAACTCCCAGTCACACAGGAACCAGAAAAGGGGGGCGCAAAGGGCCACACACGAAACCTTAAACCCCTCAGGGCAGGGCTTATTGAGGCCCTAGTGAAGAAAATATGAGCTCTTATACCCTGGTTCCTGAGTACGGGTTTGACCTTTTATAGGCCCAAACCAGTTAAACCCTACAACCCTAAACCCTAAACCCTCAACCCTAACCCTAAAACCCCCAAACAACCCTAGACCCTAAACCCTCAACCCTAACCCTAAAGCCCCCAAAGAACCCTAAACATCCCAAACCAGTTGGTGGGCCCACCCTCGGAATTCTGGAGCTTTGATCCGTCCTTTGAGCCGCGGCCTGAGTTGCGCACACGCGAACTGGGCGGCATGAACCATGGGGATTTCGGGGTTTGGGGGTTCAGGGTTAGGGCTTAGGGCTTAGGGTTTAGGGCTTAGGGCTTAGGGTTTGGGGTTTGGCGTTTAGGGTTTAGGGTTTAGCGTTTAGGGTTTAGGGGCTCAGAATGTAAGGGCTTCGGGGTTTAGTCTTGAGAAAATTTGGGGGTCACGAAGAATGCTCAGTAAAACTTAACAGCAAGCCCCTTTGCCGGGGCGCGCTTTTTAGGGCCGGTAGCTAAGGGAACCGAAGGGGTTTAGGGTTTAGGGTTTAGGGTTTAGGGTTTAGGGTTTAGGGTTTAGGGTTTAGGGTTTATGGTTTGGAATGGATCGGGCCACTAGTCAGGCCACCGGCAGTGGACCCAAGGTGTTTTTTTTTTAGTTGCTGTCAGTCGGCTCTTTGGCAAAAGGCCGTGAACAGCAGCGAATGCTGGAGTTCATCATACGGTTCGCAGCAACAGGTGCTCAGGCAAAGTACCCTGTACTAAACACTAAACCCTAAAACCTAAACCCTATCACCCTAGTCTCGAGCTGTGCTTTGTGTGGTGATGGAACCCCAGCCCTACAACCTCAACCCTACGCCCCCTGAACGTATTACCCCTAACCCTAAACCCTAAACGCTAAGCCCGAAACCCGAATCGAGCCCTCTAAGCCCTAAACCCTACAATCCTTCTTGAGCGCTCGAACCGAAATCCCTGGCATCCACTTAAACCCTCAAATCCCCCTGAGGCGATACACTTAAGGATCCATGCACCCATATACTACATCCCTGAGGGTCCATGAACCTTTACGGTGTATATTTGGGCCTTAAAGGGGTTGCCATATATGGTAGCTCTTGGGCCCAAGTTTACACGATGTAAGTACATGGGCCCTTAGGGTAGACTGAAGCTACAATATAGGAACCCGTTTCAGGCCTATGCATATGCTAGATAAAAGCACATGGATCCTTGTGATACACCTTATAAATTACACCTGAAGGAATTCCAGGACCTGGGGTTTGACGTTTCGGGGTTCAGGGCGGTTTAGGGTTCCCTAAACCCTAAACCCTACACCCTACACCCTACACCCTAAACCCTAAACCCTAAACCCCAGAGATTCTGAGCTTAACCCCAAGGCCACGGAATCCCTGGGCACAGCGGGCCATGCGGGACATGCGCAGACCCCAGGTTGCTTCTGCGGGGTTTAGGGCTTAGGGGGCATTAGGGCTTAGAGGGCTTAGGGGACTTAGGGCCCTAGAGGGCTTCGGGGACTTAGGGCTTAGGGTTTAGGGTTTAGGGCTTAGGGTTTAGGGCTACTCCCCTTCCCCTCACTTCGCCAACCGATGAACTTCGCACTTGTTGGGCTTCCGGAAGTTCTTTTGTGAGAATGATCAAGTCTTAGCCTTTCGAGCCTTGGTTACTGACCCTAAGCCCTAAACCCCAAAAATCCTGCACCCCTAGAAGTACGGCTACCTGACTGGCCCCAGGGCAGGACTGAGTTGTTTTTTCCTGCTGCTCTTTTCTGCTGCACCTCCTGCGTCCTCTTCTTTTGTCACAGTCTGAAGCCTCAACCCGGTTTCCGTAAACCCTAAACCCTAAACCCTGTTGTTCCCAAAGCCCTAGACCCGAAACCCTAAACCCTGAACCCGAAACCGGACACTGCAAGCACACTGTTGCACTCCAGCACTTTCTACTATTTGCTAGAGACCCCCCCCAAAAAAAATGTAAATGCAAAAGAATGACACAAAAGCAACTAAGTATCCCGATATTGCCCTTATCTGGAAGATTGTTTTCGCGGCTTTGTGTTTCTTAAGCAAACAGTAGCTTTGTTCCTTCGTCCTCAGAAGTTCGACTCCAAAGACTCTTGGCGACCGCTTTTAAGTCCCGAGGCGTTTCTAAGTTTTAGGGTTTAGGGATTAGGGTTTAGGGTTTAGATTCTAGGGTTTAGGGTTTAGGGTTTAGAGTTTAGGGTTTAGGGTTGTGTGTGCCAAGTCGACAGGAATGAAGCTCGGTGGTGTACAAGCCTTGTGTTTCAGGTTTTGGGCACTTTTGGGTCGCGCTGGTTAGGGTTTTGGGTTTCAAGGGCTTAAAGGGGTGAAAGGTTTAAAACACCGGCGCCCAGTCTGTTTCGCACTGCCATGGACAGCTAGGATTCTTGAGGAGGGGTCATTTCGGGGCCGGAATAATTCCCTCTGTAGTATTCCCTTATTATGATGGTGCCTTTCACATTTCACAATATACTATAACACAACCTCCAAAACTCTAGTCCAAGTCTCAACGCCCCGATAGTAGGGTTCAGCGTGCAGGGTTCAGTCCCAATACTTACTTCTCCAACAGCTGAACTTTAAACTTTTTGGGTTTCCTTATTTAGTAGGAATAATAAAGTTTAACCTTTTTCCCCCTTGGCTATTGGAGAAGTAAGAATATCCGTCTGCGCAGCAAGTGGCTCAAGGAGGGCTAGAGGTCAAGCCCGGCTTGATCTGAGCCGTGGACTAAAGTAAGCTTACCTACCCTGAAGCCCTAAGCCCCGAAACCGTCTGAATGTGATGAGAGGCAACTGAAGGTTTGCTGTAGTCAAAGTTGCCATGTCCACCCTAAACCCTAAACCCCAAACCCTAAACCTTAAACCCTACACCCTAAACCTGAAAGCTGCCATGGCCGCCAGGCTTGACATTCACAATCTCATCCAAACCATTGGCCAAATCCTTGAAGGCAGCAAGGAGAAACAACGCAAGTTCATCGAGACTGTCGAACTTCAGATTGGCCTGAAGGATTACGACTGCCACCCTAGATCCTAACACCCTAACACCCTAACACCCTAACACCCTAAACCCCTAAACCCTAAAACCCTAAACCCCTAAACCCTAAAACCCGAAGCCCCCTAAAACCCTGAAGGATTACGACCTCCAGCGAGACAAGCGCTTCTCAGGAACCATCACCCTGCCGAATGTTGCGCGCCCCCGTATGAAGGTCTGTGTCTTAGGCGACGCCGTGCACTGTGAGCAGGCGCAGAGAGCAAACATTCCCTTCAGGGACATTGAGCACCTGAAGAAGTTGAACAAGAACAAGAAACTGGGTTTGGGGTTTAGGGTTTAGGGTTTAGGGTTTAGGGTTTAGGGTTTAGGGTTTAGGGTTTAGGGTTTAGGGTTTAGGGTTTAGGGTTTAGGGTCTAGGGTTTAGACCCTAAACCCTAAACCTTGGTAGCCCAGTGGTACCCTTTACCAGTTTCTTTGGTTCTGGGTGCCATTATAAAGCAACCAACCCCCAAAAAGGGCATATATATATATATAGATAAAGGACCTTCAAAGGGTTCCTGTATTCAAGCCCTAAACCCGAAACCCTCTACCCCAAACCCTAAACCCCTAGAAACCTGGCAAGGAAACTGGTGAAGAAGCTGATGAAGAGCTTCGATGCATTCCTGGCGTCTGCGGTCCTGATTCGGCAGATGCCGAGGTTGCTGGGGCCGGGCAGCAACCCGAGCCCCGGACCTTGCTTCTGGCAAAGCTGTGTGGCATTAGGGTTTAGGGTTCAGGGTTCAGGGTTTAGGGTTTAGGGTTTAGGGTTTAGGGTTGAGGGTAATCTGAAGGAGCATGTGTAGTAGGAGCAACTGGAAGCCTTCGTAGCCCAGTGGTACCCTTTTTTGCCTGTGTCTTAAAAGTAGACCCTAAACCCTAAACCCTGAACCCTAAACAGAACACGGGAAGTAGCACCAGGGCACAACCCAAAGTGAGCTGTTTTTCCCGGTTTGCCCCGAGACAGCGGCTACGGGGAAACTTATTGTTGGTTAGCAGGGAATGAGGGAGTTAGGGCCCTCTAATATACCCTTGAAGGGATTGTAATGGGGTACTTCATTCCCTCATTCCCTACTTGGAGGTTCAAGGTACTTATAACCCCAATTACTGTACTTATAAGACCCCCCCAAGTCCGCTAAGTAGGTTATAAGTAGATTTATAGTTGTGGTCATAGGTACCCCCTAAACCCTAAAGCCTAAACCCTAAACCCTAAACCTTGAACCCCATGAACCTCCAAGTACTGACAAACAGTAAGGGGAAAGGCGGGCAAGTTTCCGAGCCTCTTGCAACACTCCGACGACCTGGAAGCCAAGGTGAGGGAACTCCGGAGCAAGGTGACCTTCGTTTTTTTGGTTGTTTTGTGCTTTATTTATTACCTTTGTTTTAAACCTAATTTGTTGGTCACCCCTTTCCCCTTTTAATTGTGCAGTTTTTTCAAATGTTCAAGACTCGTTCTTTGCAAAGTCGGGTCAGGAGCTTCCGGACAAGAAAGGAGGGGGGGGGTCTCTTTGCGGGCGGGGGTGGGGTCTCTAAGTATCTGGGACGACCCCTGGTGTGCAATTTCATGTGTTCTGTTTAGGGTTTAGTGTTTAGGGTCTAATATTTTTGGGATGTGTCCCCTGATACGAACAGTCCTTAGTAAGGAGCCTAAACCCTAAACCCTAAACCCTAGCCCTAAACCCTAAACCCTAAACCCTAAACCCCTAAACCCCTAAACCCCTAAACCCTAAACCCTAAACCTCGCAGGTGAAGTTCCAACTGAAGAAGGTGCTGGGCATGGGCGTTGTTGTGGGCCACGTCGCCATGACCCCCGATCAGCTGAGGCAGAACTGCTTGGTTGCCATCAACTTTTTGGTGTCGCTGCTGAAGAAACTTGTTTGGCCAAGGAGGTGAGCTTCAGTTTTGTTGTCGGGTTTGGGGATTTTTGGAGTGTAGGGCTTAGGGTTTTGGGGCTTGACCTCTTTTTTTTCTGGGTGATTGGAGTAGTAAGGAAGAACTGGAACAATGTCAAGCGCCTGCATATCAAGAGCACCATGGGAAAGCCCTTTCTAATCTATGGACAGAGCAATTGAGCTGAGCTGGTTCGCCCTGGCCGTGTGCCCTTGTGGCTAAACCCTGAACCCTGAACCCTGAACCCTAAACCCTAAACCCTAAACCCTAGACCCTAAACCCGCAAAGCGGCTCCCTCTCTGGAAAGTTCTTCTCCAGCTGATCCTCGGTCGCTTCGGGGACACCCCCTCGCCAGCATCCGTTGGTGTTCAACGATGTTCCGATGTTTCCAACCGACTGTGGATGCCCCAAAATGGCCGCTGCACTCAGTTCAGGGGGTCCGGTTTAGGGTTTAGGGTTGAGGGTTGAGGGTTTAGGGTTAGGGTTTAGGGTTTAGGGTTTAGGGGTCCATCTACGCAGTACCCAGGTAGTAGCTATGGGAGCATGTAGGTATTTTCAACTTTGCGTCATATGGTGCTGTGGCGACGCGAGTTTCGTCCGGGTTTGATTTCAACTCATCTGTCAGGGGAAGTCTGACTGGCGGTGACTTTGATCGCTTCGCAGGACTGTGCTTGATCCCCCACCACTACACCCCCCCCCCCCCCCCCGCCTACCCCCTAATATGAAATACCCCCCAGTATACTTATTATAGTATAATGGGGGGGGGGGGGCGTTTCAATATTAGGGGGGTGGGGGGTTTAATATTAGGGGGAGGGGATGAAGCCTGAAACCAGCAACAAACACCCGAGCTGCTGCACTAAATTCCAGACTCGGCAGAGCTCGCCAAACAGCGGTGGCGACAAGCCAAACAAACCGCCAAGCAGTGCTTGGGTTTAGGGTTTAGGGTTTGGGGTTTGGGTTTAGGGTTTGGGGTTTAGGGTTTAGGGTTTAGGGTTTATAGGGTTTAGACAAAACCAAGAACATGCGGAGGCCAGCTATGCAAGTTTGTTTGGACTATGGACCTGGTTTACCCTAAACCGAAATCCCGAGGGCACGGTTCGGGGTTCGGGGTTTGGGGCTTGGGCTTGAGGCTTGGGCCTTGCCGGAGTTCCTATCGAGCCTGAACCCTAAAACCCTAAACCCTAAACTCTAAACCCTAAACCCTAAACCCTAAACCCCAAAGGCGGCGCCTTGGTATCCAGAGGCTCCATCTCAACCTCACCTATAGATCCCCTAAACCTCGAAACCCTTAACTCTAAGCCCCAACGACCTTTAGGTCGTTTAGGGTTTATGAACCCTAAACCCTAAACCCCAAACCCTAAACCCTAAACCCCAAAACCCCTGCACCCAAACCCTATAAAGAGTACAGGGGTGCGGAACCTACGGCCCAACTGTGGATTTCCAGACCCCCCCCTTAGAATGCCCGCAGGTTGGGGTTTGGGGTTAAGGGTTTTGGCTTTGGCTTTGGCCCCATGAACTAGCCCTAAACCCTAAACCCTAAACCCTAAATCTAAACCCTAAACCCTAAACCCTAAACCCTAAGCCCAGGTGTTCCGACTTGCCAGAGAGTGCGCCCGTGCTCTGCCACCAGCTCGTGTCTTCGAAGTCTGATCCACTTCTCCAAGGGGTCCATGTTCCCTAAATGCTCAACCCTAAACCCCGAAACCCTAATCCCTAAACGCTAAACCCTGCTTCGGGTTTATAGGGTTTGTAGGGTGCGTAGGTTTTTAAGGGTTTATGGGGTTTATAGGGTTTACAGGGTCTGTAGGGTGTCGGGTTTATAGGGTTTACAGGGTTTATGGCGTTTATGGGGTGGTTGGGGTGTTTGAGGTGTTTAGGGTTCACAGGGTTTTTGGGGTTCGGGGTCCAGGGCTTTCGGTTTGGGCTGTGGGTTGCCAACCCTAAGCCCCAAACCCGAAACCCAAAAACCCTACGCCCCAAACCCCAAACCCTCCACCCTAAAGCCTAAACCCTGAACCCTAAACCCTAAACCCTACGCCGGACGAAAGAAGCTGGCATCCCTTTGGCTCGGAGAAGCTGTTTCCATTGTTCCTCTCTACCTTGGGGACTCAATGAACCCCAGCAGGGCTTATGGTCCATATACCTTAGTAAGGAGTAGGGTGGAGGGTTTAGGGTTTAGGGTTTAGGGTTTAGGGTTTAGGGTTCAGGGTTTAGGGCTTAGGGCTGAGGATAAGGATGGCATAGGGTATACCAATGGGGGGGTCATCAAGGTACACCCCGGCCGCGCACCTAAGCAAGAATAACCGTCAACCCAAAACCCGAAACCCTAAACCCTACCCCCCGCTCCCCCCGCATCGGAGGCAAGCTCCATGTGTGGTCGCTTCCCTAACCTACCCTTGGCCCTAAGCCCTGAAGCCTAAACCCACTATTTTGGTAGCTCCAGATCACCCTGGATATGTCAAACTCTATGTAGGCATAGGTTGTTTGTAGGGGTTCGGGCGTTCTAAACTAGGGCTTAGAATTGGAAGATCCAGTGCCTTGCGTGACCGGATGGCGGATGGCGAGCGTGTTTTCTCGAAGACAGAGCTCTATAACCAGCCATTTCCCTGGACGATCATCTCTGGCCAGGCTGGGATGACATGGTGTGGTTGAAACAAGACCCAAACCCTGAATGTCCTTGTACCTATCTCTTATATGCTGAGGCCTTTTAAGGATTCCTACTGACCGTAGTTTAGGGTTTAGGGTTTAGGGTCTAGGGTTTAGGGTTTAGGGTTTAGGGTTTTAGTCCCCATGTAAAAATCTCCACTATAGACATGGGCCCTTAGGGAAAGTCAGCTTTGTGACACGACGTTCGGAGCCTTTCAAGGGCGAGGGCGATGTCTCGGTCCCGCGTCTAGGGTCTAGGGTTTAGGGTTTAGGGTTTAGGGTTTAGGGTTTTTGTGACATGTTCGGAGCGGGCTCGAGTTGGTGGGGGTTGGGGTGGGGTCTGGCGGGGGGGAGGGGGGGGTATGGGGTTCCCCATATAGTCAAGGCTATTGAGAGATAATCAAGCGTGATTAAGTTCTTTTAAGGGGGGGCGGCGGTGGGGGCTGGGGGGGACGGGTGCCAGGGTTTGTGAGACTTGTGTTCCAGTACCACTGCTTGGGAAAAGTACATATTCAGCTAGTTCACCTGAACCCTAAACCCTAAACCTTCCTTGCAAACCTAAGCGCTTCACCTTTTTTCCGTCCTAGAAAGCGCAGGCAGGCAAAAGCGCAGGCAACTAATCCCTGGCTCAAGATTTTCTAGAACCCTAATCCCTATAAAGCCAAGCCTCTATAGCCTTAAACACTCGAAGCTTTTATCTCTATACCATAAAGCACACCCCTAAACCTTGGAACCTAAGTCCCATACCCTAAACCCGTCCCTAAGCCCTAAATGCTCCAACCCTAAACCCTAAACCCCGAACCCTAAACCCTAAACCCTAAACCCTAAACCCTGAGTGCAGGTCCTTGAGCTCGGGGAGTTCATCCCACGCCATCCAGGCGTGCCCGTGGGTCTAGGGTGTTTAGGGTTTAGGGTTTAGGGCTTGGTTTAGGGTGTTTTGGGTTCATGGAGCCCGGATTTTGCTCCAGGTTTCTAGGGTTTGAGGGGGTTTAGGTTGGGATGTTCTCCCTTATACAAACAGTGCTTAATTGGGATTCTTGTGTTTTTGGACACAGGTGTTTGCTCCAGTTTTTTGGGGTTTAATAGGGTTGGTGGGGTTTAGTTTTAGGGTTCAGGGTCAACGTTTTTTTTTTCGGGTTTAGGTCGGAGAGTTTTCTAGGGTTTGAAGGGGGTTGTGGTGCCTAGGGTTTTTGGGGTTCGGGGCTAAGGGCTTTTTGTTTTTAGCAAGTGGAGGGCTTGCAACAAGTGATACGAGTATAAGAATATCATAACGCTATATATATATATATATATATATAGATACCAGTAGAACATACGTTTCTTTATACAACATATGTATATATATATATGTGTAAAGATTGTCATACAAACGTATCAAGCAAAACCATTGAAGCAATATCGCAATAGTTTAACACGAGTTGTTGGGTTTTGTTCTGTTTGTTGCATGGGGGCTGAGAACCAGATTGGGCCTAGGGGTGTGAGGTTGTGGTGTTGGCTCAGGGAACCTTAGCCGGCTACACCCTAAAACCCCTAAACGCCTTCTAACCCTGAGCCCTCAACCCTTGTCTTACAGCATGGGTTGGGATGTTCCCCCTTATACTAACAGTCCTTAATAGGGATTATAGTACCCCATCCCCCCCCCCCCCCCCCCCCCCCCCACCAAAAAAACAAAAAAAACCTATTACGGACTGTTAGTGTAAGGGGGAACATCCCAAAGCATGGGTCATAATCTTCCCGCGTGTCCCAGGCGGTGCGCTTATCCGCCGTGCAATCGGTGAAGATGCAACGGACCGCTGCTCCCTAAACCAAGAAGCATTACCGTCGCTCTTAAAAAAGAAGCCCAACCCTAAACCCTGCACGTCCTAAGCCCCGCATCCAAAGCCCAAATCACATCCCAGAGCCCAAGCCCTATACCCGAAATTGCAAAACGATAACCCTAAACCCAGTTTCCTTTGCGGCTGAAGCTTTTCCACGGTGTCTTGAGACGAGTCACCACGCCATGGCTATTGTCTTGAGCCTCCAATCTTAAACCAGGGTTATACCTAAACCATGCACGTTGTGAACCATCATCCCTAGACGGGTTAAGGAGTTACTCCTTTATCAAACTATTTGGGTACTTCCAAGTAGGGGTACTGTACCCCGTTTATACCCCAAATAAAATCGAATCCCCTTAAAGGGACCTCCCAAAAAGGGTGCCCCTATTTTCGGAAACCCCCATATATTGAAAGCCCGATGAACCCTAAACCCCAAACCCTACTTGGAGGTTCAGGGTACTTACAACCCCAACTGTAACTGCACTTATCAGCCCCCTAAGTCCAGTACCCCTAAACCCTAAACCCGAAACCCTAAACCCTAAACCCTAAACCCTAAACCCTGAGTACCCATGAACCTCCAAGAAAGCCCCGGAACGCAGGACCTCTTCCTCTCGCACCATGCTCCCTCCAGCCGCGCTGCCGAAGTCCTGCAACGCTACCGCGCCGTGGTTCAGGGTTAGGGTTTGGGGTTTGGGGTTTAGGGTTTAGGGTTTAGGGTTTAGGGTTTAGGGTTAAGGGTTTAGGATTAGGGTTCAGGGTTAAGGGTTTAGGGTTCAGGGTTCAGGCTTTAGGGTAAGGGTTGAGGGTTTGGAGACTCAGGTCTTCAATATCCCTTGCAATCACATGGAGGATGATGGTGGGTTTGGGGTGCACGTAGTCCATGAACTGCTCATGTTGCATTGAAGTTGGACAAGGGGAGGGACATGGGGGATGTCAGCATTGGTGGGGTTCAGGGTTTTCTGGGCTTTCAGGGTCCACTGGCTTCAGCTTCCCTAAACCCTAAACCCTGAACCCTCAATTACTTCAGTTTGGGATTAAGGGCCATCCTAGCTTAGTACGGCCCCTTACCCGTGTCTATCGGGATCCGAAGTATGGACCCTTACTGCTTATAGAGTATGTAAGGATGTAAGGGTTGCGTAACAAGAAAGCCTAAAGCCTAAATCCTAAACCCTATCCCTAAACCCAAATTAAGGGCACGTACTTGGCCCCTTCAAGCCGCGTACGTGCTATGGGTGCGCATACCCTAAACGCCCAGTCCTACAAGCCTACTAGCTACAGGTTTAGGGTTTAGGGTTTAGGGTTTAGGGTTTAGGGTTTAGGGTTTATGGTTTAGCCCATAAACCCCGACACCCTCTAACCCTACGACGTAGCAGCAAACAGGGTTTAGGGTTACTTGTCATGCGGTTGCCTCAGAATTCTCTCAGGCGGACAAAGAAGCAGCGCTTGGGGGTTAGAAAGACAAAGCCTTATAAGACAGTGAAGTTTTGGTCTGCGCAGCGTTTGGGGTTTAGGGTGGGTTTAGGGTTAAGAGCTTATAGGCTTTAGGCTGTAGGGTTAAGGGCGACTTACGGTTTTAGGGTTTAGGGTTTAGGGCTTACGGTTTTAGGGTTTAATGTTCGACCCTCTTTACTGTGTAGGGCCCCCCCCACCCCCCCCCCCCCCCCCTGAACAGTCGAGGCGTGGATGGGAGCCTGATTACACGGCCCCGGGGGCTTATTTGATTTCAATAGGGAGGAGTTTAGATAGGTTTAAAAGGGGCAGCGATGCCCGGTTATCTTTTTCAAAGGCGCGCAACGTGGAATTTTCTTACGGCGCCCGGACGGTTTGACTTTAAAGAGGACCCCGCAAACAGTCAGGGGTCCTGAATAATTCGGCCAAATTGACTTTCAAGGGGAGGCCCCTACTAAAGAGGGTCGAACATTAGGGTGTAGGGTTTGGCAATCAAGGAATCGGCCGGCTAGATGGGCGAGAGGCAGTCGATATCCCCGAGCTGCTCGGCGGCCACGGCAGTTTCTGGGCAGGGTGGGTAAGCAGCTTGATCAGGCCCTAAACCCTAAACCCTATGAACCCTATAAATCCTATAAACCCTATAAACCCAATAAACCCTAAACCCTATGTGCACCGTGGTGTAGAACTGAGTGTCTAGGATTTGGGGTTTACGGATTTGTGGTCTCAAAAATTTGGCAGCCGGTGGAGGCAACAATGGGCAGCTGCCCAGCCGGTCTTCCGGAACAAAAAAGGGGTTTTGGGTTTTGGGTTTAGGGTTTTGAGTTTAGGGTTTTTTCGGGTTCGGAGTTTAGGGTTTAGGGTTTAGGGTTGGGTTTAGGGTTTGGGTTTAGGGTTTGGGGTTGAAGGTTTAGGGTTTAGGTTGGGGTTTAGGGTTGAAGGTTTAGGGGTTTGGGGTTGAAGGTTGAGGCCCCATCAACGACGATTTGTAGCCCTAAACCCTAAACCCCAAACTCGGCTCTACACGGAGGTGCCCTGTTTTTTTTTGCGATAGAACTGAAGTTAAGGGACTTCCAGGCCTGAGTTCTGGTACTTCTAGCCCCTGTCTAAGTGCCTTGGAATTCTAGGGAGGTATAAGGACCCGAAAATGGGTTATAAGGCTCCAAACATGATCCAAACATAGGTTATTTGTGGTAAGTAAACTGTTGTTTGGAATCGGAGGGTGCCTCTCCCTGTCAGAAGGCTCTGGAAAAGAAGGCCGCTGCAGAAGATCATTTGGGAGCGGCTGCGGCTGGGCTTGGTTGGGGCTGGGTTTAGGGTTTTGGGTTTTGGGTTGCGTGTTGGGTTTTGGGTAGTTGGGAATTTTCGGAGGAGTTGGGTTTTGGGTTCTGGGTTTTGGGTTTGGGGTTTTGAGTTTTGGGGATTTTCGGAGGAGTTGGGTTTGGGGTTTGGGGTATAGGGTTTAGGGTATAGGGGCCTCCCAAGACCATGAGCTCCCTAAACCCTGCACCCTAAACCCCTTGCAGGGTTGGGGCCTTGGCTCTTGGGTACCAGGTAAGAAGCTTACATGGGATGTAGATGTAGGGTTTTGGAGTTGCGAGTCAATGTGGCTTTGGGAGGCAGGGTTCGGGTGGGAGCACCCTAGGGGCAAGCAGAAAGTTTAGGGCTTAGGGTTTTGCGGTTTAGGGTTTTTTGGCTGACCCGGCGTTTCAGTGCGCGGTATCTGATGGGATGCGGCGGGTCGACTGTCACTGTGTAGCTCTCTGCAGCCTTGGCGTGTGGGTTTGCACGCCAACCCTAAACTCGTTTTTCCTAAACTGGAGATCCGTCCTAGACCCCAAGCGCTAAGAGCTGAACCCCGACATCCCGAAACCCCTACATCAGCCCACATCTGAAAACCGCTATAGATCCCTAAATCCGTAACCCTAATAAACCCTAAACCCTAAACTCGAAACCCTAAACCCCTGAGCCCTAAACCCTAAACCCTAAACCCTAAACCCTAAACCCTAAAACCCTAAAACCCTAAAACCCTAAAACCCTAAAACCCTAAAACCCTAAACACGGAGCCCTGAACCTCGCGTCCCCGACCAAGAAGTCCAAGGCGAAGCGCGGGGGTCGACCTCCGAGCAACAGTGCCTGTCGCGGAAGGCTCCTGGTTTTCTCCACATGGGTAGCGTTTAGTGTGTCGGGTTTAGGGTTTAGGGTTTGGGGCTAGAGGTTTAGGGTTAGGGTTTAGAGTTTGAGTTTAGGGTTTAGGGTCTGGAAGGGATCAGGTCTAGACGCCCTAGTCGGTTGAAGAGGCCACGGGACAAAGCTTTGCATTGTTCGGCTCCCATGCTCGCTGCTTGGCTATCCCTAAACCTCTGTTATAATATACTATACTATAATGAATATAGATGTACATGTAAACCCTCGTTGGATCCGTCGGCATAGGCCTCCAGCCCCTCCAACCCCTTCGCCCCCTGCCCCCCCTTCCCCCCCTTCCCCCCCTGCCCTCCTCCCCTCCCCCCATGTCGGCTCACTTGTTACGTTCATATTATTCCGGCGTTTCGTGTGTTACGTTCTCTCCCTTTAATAATAATTCGCGCATACACGGCGTTCCTTCGCCTTGTTCGAGGGTAGCCCTTCACTTCACACCAGCTTCGAATGTTCAGGCCGGGTTAGGGCACTAATTTGAGGCTCAAGGCGTAGGGCTTAAGATGCAGCTGAAAGAGATATTTTCTCTGTCTTAAGGGGACCAGCTTGTCGTGGTGCTCTACGTGCTCCCCTGCGTGCTTATTGCAGCAGGAGCCTTTGGTCGAGCCTTTGGTCGAGCCGCTGGCAGCTCGACACGGCATGACCTTTACTGTTCTTTCCGTGCAGGTGGAAGGAGAGGACAAGGGCTGCCGCAGGCAGGCCGAGGCTTGCCAGCTCGCGCCATGCTGGTTCTGGTGAGTGGCCGTTGACCAGCGGACGGGCACTGCCCGTTCCACTCCGTCGCCAGCCAAATCGGCGAGGCTCTGGCGTGGCCATTGCGGGCGCAAGGAGCTTCATCAACAGAAGCTGCTCCGTCCAGAAGGCATTTACAGGCGCTGGAGATCTTGAGTCAGAGGCGGTTTGAAATCAGCTCTGGCGAATAGAGAATGAGGCGAGTCATCGAGAAGGACTAAACCGAATATTTTCAGAGGGCTTTAAGGGCCATAATAGAGGAACATGTTCCTAATTATTGGGCTCCGGAGGTAGTTGACATTGGGTTTGGACCAACTGCCCCAAACCCTAAACCCTATAGACCCTAACCCGTTAAGACCCCAAAACCCTAGAACCCTGAAACCCTGAAACCCTGAACTCGAAACCATAAAGCCCCTTCCCAGGACTTGCCTTCCTTATGCTGGGCATCTTCCTGCTGTGGGCGTGGCCACTTGCCAAAAGGGCCGGGTCGGGTGCGAGGGGAGCGGTAGAGCCCTCAACCGTCCCTAAACCCTAAACCCTAAACCCTAAACCCTAAACCCTAAACCCTAAACCCTAAACCCTAAACCCTAAACCCTAAACCCTAAACCCTAAACCTTCAGCTCAATCTTCAGCCCATGGGTTCCGGCTTCAGGCGCATCCCACATCTAAGATGCCCCTGCACCCTGACCTGCCAGAGCTGCGGTTCAGGGTTTTAGGGTTTTAGGGCTTTGGGGCTTTGGGGTTTTGGGGTTTTGGGGTTTTGGGTTTTTGGGGTTTGGTTTTTTTTTGGGGTTCTTGGGTTTTAGGGTTCAGGGTCTAGGACTTGGAGCAACCTAAGCGTTGAATGCAAGCACGAATCCATACCCAACAACCCTGAACTCTCAACCCGAGCACTAACCCCTAGTCCCCCAACACCTAGACCCCAAGCCAAAAACCCCAAACCAATACAGGGCTCATCAGAATAGGCCTTGCCTTTAAAGGGTTTAGGGTTTAGGGTTTAGGGTTTAGGGTTTAGGGTTTAGGGTTTAGGGTTTAGGGTTTAGGGTTTAGGGTTTAGGGTCTTTAACAAGGCTGTGCTACGTTCGCGGTTGGTGGCGGTTGGACATTGCTCTCGCGTGGCTGCTGGGCTGCAACACTATAGGATGCCCGGTGCCCTTCTGGATTCCCTCATACAGTAAACCAAACAGTTCAAAGCGTTGCACACGGAGGTTGCAGACTACGGAATTTGTGTAGTGGCGCCATGTCTTTGTTAGATTGACCCGACTGTGTGCTGAGTTCTACAGAGATCTGTCACAATGACCAACTGAAGAAATGGGTGTAAGGCGGCCGAGTTCGTAGCCATGTAGAGCAGCACTGTCGAGGGGGAAGATGTTCCTCTTCTGTATGATCATTTGGCTACAGCCCCCACCCATAACTTCCCTAAACTCTACACCCGCAACCCGAATGCAACGCATGCCGGCTGAGATCTGCAATTGCCAGAGACATCTGCGTTTGGGCATGTGCATGCACCGCACCATCTCTCAAGAACTCCACCTACCTAGAGTAGCTTTGTGCTTAAAACAAGGGCAAGTACTGTTTATTGAGGGCACATTTCCCTTTTCGACGTTTTGAAAGGGTATCCACGCCTACAGGACGGGTTATTCGGCCTGACAATTCCCACAATCAACCCTATAATATGAAGGGCCTTTTACTAGGATGCCCAGTAGTACCCTTATTCCCTTTTTGGGGGGTTTAGGTTCCCTCATAAACCCCTTTAAGCAAAAAAGAGCACCCTTTTTAAGCCTTGGTTACTGGGCAGCCTAGTTTAAGGGGTTATAGGGTATCATGGCCCGTCCTGGTTCTTTTGGAAGGTCACAAGCCCAAAGCGCCATTGGCCAAGGTTTTGGTGGCGGCATTTGGATGCCGGGCTACATGCTTCGATGCACGGTGGCTTTGCGAAAGATGGGCTTAGGGCTTAGGGTTTAGAATTTAAGGGCTAGGGTTTAGGGTTTAGGGTTTGGAATTTAGGGGCTAGGGTTTAGGGTTTAGGGTTTAGGGTTTAGGGTTTAGGGTTTAGGGTTTAGGGCGCCAGACATGGTACATTGTTGACTTCTCTCGGTTTGTCCATGTCATGCAATCATTGCATGGAAGGCACTCCATCTGAGTATAGGTTTTCCAATATGGCGAAGCTCTTTCAACCCTAAACCCTAAACCCAAAACCCTAAGCCCTAAGCCCTAAACCCTGAACCAACTAGAGCTGCTGCTGAATCTGGAAGCCTAGGATGCCCAGTAGTACCCTTATTCCCTTTTTGGTAGGTTTAGGCTCCCTAAAAAAAACCCTTCAAGCAAAAAGGGGCACCCTTTTTCATCCTAGGTTACTGGGCAACCTAGAAGCACAGGCTCTCAAGCCCCGATAGTCATCTGATAAAGTCTGACGAGCCCTCACCGCAATTCACCGTGAGAATGAGGAGCAGCTTCTAGGACCCCTAAACCCTAAACCCTAAACCCTAAACCCTAAACCCTAAACCCTAAACCCTAAACCCTAAACCTTAACCCTAAACCCTAAACCCTAAACCCTAAACCCTGAACCCTGAACCCTGAACCCTGAACCCTAAACCCTAAACCCTGAACCTTAACCGTGGCGCACGCGGCACCCTGTGACTGTTGGAGATTCTTCGGCAAGCGGGGAGATGACTCTGCGCATGCCAAACCTCTTCCTCAACTGCCGCCCCAAACATCTTGCCGCCACATACCCTATCCAGGAATTCATGGGCCTATAGTGTGGGTCCTAAACCCGAAACCGTAAACCCTCGACCCTTGTATGTAGAATTCCGAAGTCTGGGCTCTTTATCAGTGTATACTAAGGGTTCTATAACAAGGGGCCCAAATTGAGGCCCTTATTCGGTTCAGGGTTTAGGGTTTGGAGTTTAGGGTTTAGGGTTTAGGGTTTACGGCTTAGGGTTCAGGGTTTAGGGTTTGGGGTTTCGGGTTTGGGGTTTAGGGTACTGTAGAGCGCAGCTGGATCGCTCTTATGGAACATACTCATGGACATGTTTGCCCCCCCCCCCCCTATGCCCCCCCCCCACCCCCCAAAATCTTGGTAGATGATTGGCAAGCCCTTGCCAGGCACTCGGTGCTCAGTAGCACCGCGGTAGGCCCTCAACCTTGCTTTGTTTACTCTGCCAGCTGATGTTAAGGCTCGTCACATCAGCAGCAAGCTCCATAGTATGACCAATCACAGCAGTCAATGGACCGAGATGTGAAGGCGGCTTTAGTTTTAGTTTTTTTGACCAGCGAATGAGCAGCTGTAAGCGAATGCCACGTACCTGTGTCGGGAGTGGAGGGCTTGCGTCAGCAATGTCTGCTTTTCAGAAGCTGAGGGGCCCGGTGAAGTTGGGGGCTAGGGGCGAGCTGTGACCCTGCAAAACTCCTGGTAGAAAGGCTGAGCGAGGCCTTGCCGAGGCCTTGCTGAGGCCCTGCCAAGGCCTTGCCAAGGCCTTGCTGAGATTGAGGTCCTGCTGAGGTTCCCAACCCAGTCTATCTTCAGGTTTACGGAACGGTGATCCCGAGAGCGTGCCGCGGCGGCCATCCGTGTGCGCGTGCGTGCGCGTAGTCTGTTTTCCAATCGTTGAAAGTTGAGTTTGGAGTCCTTGACTTTGTCCTTGTTGGTTTTTTTTTCAGCCAAGTGCGGGCCGTGTTCCCTCACGCAGCATCACTTCACAGACTTCACATTCCTACCCACATGAAGCCCTGTCCACGTCATCATCACGAACAGGGCCTGTTCTCACTAAGCTTTGCCGAGGGTTCTCGGAAGGGGGGGGGGGCATAGGGGGGGGGGGGCAAACATGTCCATGACATACACCAACTGACCATGGTGAGGTAACCAATTTGATTCACGATATCTCCCTTTTTATGCAAACTGTATAGCTCTACCGAACCCCTAAACACTCGACCCTAACCCTGAACCCCGAAACCTAAACCCGACACCGTACACCCTACCCCCTGAACCCTAAACCTAAACCCCAAACCCTAGCCCTAAACCCTAAACCCCAAGCCCTAAACCCTAAACCCTAAACCCCAAACCCTAAACCCTAAACCCTAAACCCTGAAAAGCACGGGTCTTTGAGGCGACTTCAGATACAGCTGCTGGTCGCAGAAGGCTGGGAGCGGATGGAGGTTTAGGGTTTAGGGTTTCGGGTTTAGGGTTTAGGGTTTGGGCTTTGGGGTTTGGGGTTCGAGCTTTGGGGTTTAGGGTTTAGGGTTTGGGCTTTGGGGTTTGGGGTTCGAGCTTTGGGGTTTAGTGTTTGGGCTTTTGGGCTTTGGGGTATTAAAGGGTTTACAGGGCTTTGGTTTCAGATTTTAAAGGGTTTTGCGTTTAGGTTTTGGATTCAGGGCTTATCGGGTGCAGTATTCAGGGCTTAGGGTTCTGGATTTGTTGGGTTTAGGATTCAGAACTGAGGGTTCGGGGTGTGCAGGGTTTAGGATTTAGGGCCTTTAGGGTTTCGTGCGCTGTAGGCTTTAAGATTCAGGTCGAGGGTTTCAGGATTCAGGATGTAGGGTTTTAGATTCAGGGCTCAGGGGTTCGGCTTTCAGGTTCAGGGCTTAGAGGCTTATAGGTTGATTGGGGTTTGTGGTTGAGGGTTTAGGGCTTAAGGGTTTGCACGGGCTTTCAAAGCCAATACAAATTCCGAAAGGTTTATCAAGGTGTTCTTTTGGGGCTTATGTACAGGGCTTATATAGGGTTTACATAGGATTTATAGGTACCTAAACCTAGAACTCAGAACCCTGAGAAGGATCTTTTGGGGGTGTCGGGCTTTTGGGGTTGGTGGCTTCCTGGTCTCTGTGTTTGCTGGGGCGTTGCGCTTGGTTTCGGGGCAGCCAGGTCCGTCTCCCGGGCCATTGTCTTGGCTGCAATTAGGGCTTCAGGGTTTAGGGTTTAGGGCTTGGGGTTTAGGGTCTAGGGTTTAGGTTTTAGGGTTTGGGGCTTAGGGATTAGGGTTTCGGGTTCAGGGTTCAGGGCTTTGTGCCGTACCCAAGAAACGAACGTTGGGGCCGTGGCAACCGGACCGGAGAGGCAACGTGCTTTCGATGCTGCGTGGCAAGGGCCTTGGTGACCGCCGCCATGGTGTAGGGTTTAGGGTTTAGGGTTTAGGGTTTGGGGTTTGGGGTTTAGGGTTTAGGGTCTGGGGTTTAGGGTGTGGCGGGAGCCACATGGCATGCGGAAGTGAGTAGAGCACGGACCTGGTTGAGCCGGAGAGTTCTACTCGAATGGAACGATGCCCGTGCAGCACAAGCTCTTTTTGGAGAGCTTCAAGAAATCACCTGGGGTTTGTATAGGGTTTAGGGTTAGGGATAGGGTTTGTCGAGGGCTTCTATAGGGTTCACATATAGGGTGTATAGGTACCTAGACCTCAGAACCCTAAGAATCACCTCTGAGCAGTCGGAAGGCTATTTTTGCGTTTCTTGGGGCGCCGAGACGCCGACGGCGCGCATGGCGCTGCCTCATAACCTTGTGACAAGGACCCTCTAAGGACCTTGAGCGGTTTAGAACCAGTCCTAAACCCTAAACTCTAAACCCTAAACACTAAACCCTAAACCCTAACCCCCCCAGGATTTCGTATTTAGGGATTGAAGAAAACCCAGCACGGCTGCTCCGAATCCTGAGCCGTAACCCTCTGAACACCTATAGACCCCCAACATCCTGAACTGCCGTTTGCAGGTGTTGCGCCGCGTGTATGGCCTGCTGTCACACCGGGCGCCTGCCGGCTATCTTTAGGGGTTTCAAAATTCAAGGTTTGGTTGTAAAGTTTAAGTATAATGTGGAAAAGTTTATTTCTGTTGCGACCAACATCCTATGCCGGGGGGGGGGGGGTTTAGGGCTTTGGGGTCCAGGGTTTTGGGCTTAGGAGTGTTGGGAATGAGACTTCCAATTGGCTCACGACACTGTCTTACTGTTTCTGTTTGGCCCCTTGGTCTCGGGGCAAGGGGCGCCATCATTCTGGGCGCTTTTGGGGTGTCGGGGGTGGTAGTATTCATAATATCCATAGGTAGTGGCTCCAGAGATTGATCCGCAGTTAGGTCTTGCAGCTTGGGGCATCGCCGGGAACGCCCCCCTGCCTTCTCGTTCGGGCTTTAAGGTTTCAGGTTTTGAGGTTAAGAGTCTCACTGGGACAGGGTTACAGGCTCATTGGGCCTGGGGCTTGATCCCCCTTGGAATCATCCTCATAGCCTTAAAACCCTAAACCCCAAACCCCAAACCCTAAACCCTAAACCCTAAACCCTTCAAACTTATCAGTTGAAATGTATTCCTAGCAGCACAGTCGGTGCACTGTATGCTCTTGAGGCCTCTGGGCTCAAGCACCCCTACACCCTGAACCCTTTTAGGGTTTAGGGTTTAGGGTTTAGGGTTTAGGGTTTAGGGTTTAGGGTTTAGGGCTTAGGGTTTAACCCCCCCCCGGGGTTTAGGGGTTAGGGTTTAGGGTTAGGGTTTGTGTTTAGGGTTTAGGGCTCAGGGCTTTTTAGGGTTTAAACCCCAACCCCACCCCCTCCCCCCCCCCACCCCCCCGCTGGAAGCTTGCTCCTTTCCAGCACACCCGAAACACCCTAAAACCCTGGTCACTCGGGTTTAGGGTTTAGGGTTTAGGGTTTAGGGCCAAGTTTAGGGTTTCGGGCTTGGGATTTAGGGTTTAGGGTTTAGGGTTTTAGGGGGGGTTTTTTGAGCCAAAAGCTGGAGGCATGCCCCCTTGTACTTCTCATGCTAGGTGGAAGAGAGTCTTAAACCCCCCCCCCCCCCCCCACCCTAAACACTCCAAACCCTAAGCCCTCAACCCTGAACCCTGAACCCTACCTTAAACCCTAAACACCCCCAAACCCTGGCTCTACAAGGGTGGAGTACTACTGCGGCGCACGCGAGCTGAAAGGGATGGGTGCCATGCCATACACAGACACAGTGAAGGGCTAGGGTTTGAGGGTTGAGGGTTTCGGGTTTGGGGTTCAGGGTTCAGGGTTCAGGGTTCAGGGTTCAGGGTTTAGGGTTTAGGGTTTAGCGTTTAGGGTTTAGGGTTTAGGGTTTAGGGTTTAGGGTCAGGGTTTGGGATCTGGCGATTGTCTAAGGGCAGTTTCATGGGCCCTTAGTATGGTCCCTTACCTTCCTTAAAAGGGTTCCGAAGGGTGGGCCCTTGGCGTTTATAGGGTTTAGGGTTTAGGGTTTAGGGTTTCGGGTTTAGGGTTTAGGGTTTAGGGTTTGGGTCCCCATGTCAGCGCCCGTATCCGTATTAAGGGTCCATGGCCAGCCCTGACTCACAATCAAATCCTCAGCCCCAAGCCACCCCAAAAAACCCTTGTATGTATATCATTGGATTTTACGAGCACTTCGTCTGGGAATATGTGTCTCGGAAGGCTGTATTTCAGGGCCAACCTATGACCTCTTTCCTAAGGTCGGTCTCGAGAGCGCTTAGGGGATGTAGACCTCGCGGTATTGATTGCCCTAAACCCGAAACCCTGTAAACCCTTCAAACCCTATCAGCCCTACAAGCCCTATAATAGACCCTATAAACCCTATACACCGGAGGGTTTAGGGTTCCCCACTACACATCCCCCAAAAAAGCAAAACCCCACACTCCAGGAGATGTGTGGTACGGGAAGGTTTGAGGGTTCGAGTTTAGGGTTTAGGGTTTAAGGTGTAGGGGTTCAGGGGTTGAGGGGCACAATGGTTTAGGCTTTCTGGGTTGAGGGTTTCTTTTCTTGGGGTCTTTTTACCCGAGAAAATTGCGGCCTCAGCTGACCTCCCCTAAACCCGAACCCCCAAAACGATTCTCAGTCGTTCGACAACTGACTGTTGTTGACATGTTTGGGCTGATTTGTAGAATCTGAGAATCTGGAGGTAATCCGGCAGTTTCCGCTTGGTAACTTGGCAAGCACTGTCTAGGGTTTAGAATTTCGGTTTTAGTGCTTCCTAAACCCTCTCACCCCTAAACCCTAAACCACTAAGCCCTAAACCCTTATCGGAATGCTTGCCCCAGGTATGAGCAAGCATTGGTCGAGACCTTGGCTTTTCTTGCTGGGCCGGGGGGTGGGCGGGTGGGCGGGGGGTGGGGGGGTGAAGGTCCCTAAACAGGGTGGGCACGAGACCTAGGGTTCAGGGTTTATGCGGGCCTCCAGAAAGTTGCGCAAGGGCTTCCTAGGAACTTTCCTAGTTGCGGCAGTTCAAGCAGCAACGCCACAAGATTTATAGTAGGGCAAACCCTAAGCCCTATAAACCCCCCCCAAACCTATGAACCCCCTAAACCCCCCTAAGCCCTAAACACTAAACCTTAAGCCCTAAACCCCGAACCTTGAATCCTAAAAGGGATTCCCCAGGTGGCACCACGTGTTTCCCAACGACCCAGGCCTCTGTGGAGTTGATCGGCTCGGGTTTAAGGTTTAGGGTTTAGGGGGTTCAGGGTTTAGGGTTTAGGGTTTAGGGTTTAGGGTTTAGGGTTTAGGGCTCTTTTGAGGGTTCAGGGGTTTTTGGGGTTTTGGGGAGTTTTACGGTTTAGCCAGCCTTGGATCGTGGTCGAACTGAACCCTACCAGAGTTTGTGGCCCAAATGCCACAGTAACTTAGTAGAGACTACGTATACTCGCACAGGGTATATGACCCTAAACTTATAGGGCTCAAGTGGTCCCCAAGGTCATGATGTCCTCTTTGGGAGGTTGTTTTTGGCGGAAGTGGTGGATGCTTCGTGTAGACTTACAGTCTCCCGCCCGCCGCAACCTGTGTCTGCTTGCAGCGAGTAGCACCAAGGAATGGACCATGTAGTCAGTCCTAAGCCATCATATGGGGTGAATACATTACCCCCCCCAAAACGTCCTAATCCCTGAGTCCCGGACCCTAAACCCTAAACCCTAAACCCTAAACCCTAAACCCTAAACCCTAAACCCTAAACCCTAAACCCTAAACCCTAAACCCTAAACCCTAAACCCTAACCACCTAAACCCCTACACCCCTAAACCCTAAACCCCAAACCCTAAACCCTAAACCCCTGAATCCTAAACCTGCAAAGCGCTCGGACCATCCCTGGCTTCAGGCCGTGATCCGGACTGGAGCACCATGACTGGTGTTGCTTGGGTCAGGCCGCTTTTGGTTGAGGTTTGGGGCTTAGGGTTTAGGGTTTAGGGTTTAGGGTTTAGGGTTTAGGGTTTGGGTTTAGGGTTTAGGGTTTAGGGTTTAGGGTTTGGGGTTTAGGGTACCCTAAACCCTAAACCCTAAACCGTAATCAGGTTTTTTGGTTCGGTGTTTTGGGCCAAGGGTTTTGGGCTTTGCAGACCAGGCCCCCCCCCCTGAAACCCAAGGCACTTCTGACTTACGGGGTTGGCGATCAGTATATGAATGCTCGTTTATAAGATATAATCCGTTGACCCTAAACCCTGAGCCCGATGTACTCCCGAAGTCCTAAAACAAAATTCCTCGCAGGGCACCTAAACCCAAACCTAAACCCTATTGCAACCATTGGCCCCAGCCTTTGAGCCCCCCCCAAAAAAGAATATCAAATTCTGAACTAAATCACTTAAAAGCCTAACAGACCTAACAACCCTAAGCTCTTCGGGTTGCAGGGTTCTTAGTCCACTAATTGCCTAAGCAAAGGGGCCCACACATCGCCTGGAAGCTTACAACCCTAAACCCTAAACCCTAAAACCTAAACCCTAAACCCTAAACCCTAAACCCCTAAACCCTAAACCCCTAAACCCTAAACCCCTAAACCCTAAACCCCTAAACATAAACCCTTGGCCGCAGGCGCCACCGAAGCGCTCAGTGGCACCCATGTCACCTGTGGCAGTCGGGATCTCGTTTTGGGCTCTTAAGGCACTCGGGATTCAGAGTAGGCCCTAGGGGGTTTCGGGTTTAGGGTTTAGGGTTTAGGGTTTGGGTTTGGGGTTTAGGGTTTAGGGCTACTGGGACCCAGAGTAGGCCCTTATTCCCTTTTTTTGGCGTTTAGGTTCCCTTATAAGCCTTTCTATTCCTTGGGTCTAGTAGCTTGTTTAGGGCTTAAAACTCTAAGCCCTCATCTCTAAACCCTAAAAGCCTGAGCTCCAAACCCTAAACCCCTCAACCCCTAAACAGGCTTTTTGGGAGGAGCTGAGTGGGGTGGCCTTCAGCCCTTGCTGGTGCCCTAAACCCTAAACCCCAAACCCCAAACCCTGAACCCTGAACCCTGAACCCTAAACCCTGAACCCTAAACCCTGAACCCTAGGTGCTGGTACTGGCTGCCCATCGCCACGCTCGTGGAACCAGTGTTGGAGCTGCTCCAGGCCTAATGCCGCCGGTGCCAAAATCTTTGGGTTTCAGGGGTTTTCTGGTTTAGAGTTTCGGGTTTAGGGCTAGGGTTTAGGGTTTAGGGAAGAGAGTTTAGGGTTTAGGGTTCAGGGTTCAGGGTTCAGGGTTCAGGGTTCAGGGTTCAGGGCAACAAAAAAGTGCCTGCACACATTTGTTCTATTCCCGGCGACTTCTCCCTTTAACTTGCTTGTTTCTTGCATCTTTTGTTGAGCATTCCAGCGCCCTTCTAGGCATTCTAGGCATTCTACTGGGCCTCTTTGTTCTAGGGGTGAGGGCGGGGAGGGCGGGGTGAGTAGGGCCATGTACATGACATGGAGCTAGGGAGCAGCCTACCGGCTACCGACGAAACCCTGAACCCTAAACCCTAAACCCTGAACCCTGAACCCTAAACCCTGAACCTTAAACCCTAAACCCTAAACCCTAAACCCTAAACCCTAACTGTGCGACCTGCATGGGCATGGGCTGGGGGGTGTGTTCACCCGCGCACGAAAGCAAGACCCTACCTCGGGTTGTGTGGGCTTCACAGGCAGGTGCTTGTAGGGTTTAGGGTTTAGAGTTTAGAGTTTAGGGTTTAGGGTTTAGGGCTTAGGGTTTAGGGTTTAGGGTTTGTTTAGGGTTTAGTGTTTAGGGTTTAGGGCTTAGGGTTTTGGGTTTAGGTTTTAGTTTTTTGGGTCTAGGGTTTAGATATTCTTGAAAAGCTCGGACAGCAGATGCAAAGCTTCGTGCATCCAACCCTACAGACCATAGCAGCCCTCCTCCTAAACCCTAAACCCTAAACCCTAAACCCTAAACCCTAAGCCCTAAACCCTAAACCCTAAACCCTAAACCACGCCCTCCAAACTGAGCTCGAGCCTCGCCGACAAGGAAGCATAAAGATCTCACATCAACCCTTTGGGCTTTGTTGGGGTTTTAGGGTTTTAGGGTTTAGGGTTTAGGGTTTAGGGTGTAGGTGTAGGATATAGTGTCTGGAGTCTAGGGTTTATCGGATTTAGAGATTGCAGTTTGGGATTTATCGGATGTAGGGAGTAGGGCTTTGCCTTAGATGAACCTTGTGAAAGACCGAGACCCCAAACGATCGCTGGCTCACCCTGTGTTCGGGGCGTGCAGGTGGCTTGCTCGGGGCTGGAGGCTCGGATCTTCGGGCTCTACACTTTAAGGTTTAGGGTTTAGTGTTCAGGGGTTAGGGCTTCAATCCCCGAACCCTAAAGCCTAAACGCCGAAACCCTCAACCCCTAAACCCCTAAAACTTTAAACTCCTAAAACCCAAACCCTAAATCAAGCTTCAGGGTTTCAGGTTTTTCGGACTTACGGATATAGTTGAACCTAGGGTTCAATGCCACTCCTGACTACTTAAGCCCCCCTAAAAGGTTGGGCACCCCATGCCTGTCAAGCTCGGTTAAAGCAGTTCTCTAAATGAGGGTTCCTCATGAGGGTTATGAGGGAGTAACCCTAAACCCTAGACCCTAAACCCGAAACCAAATATTGCTACTGCGACAGATTGGGCGGTAGTCACGGACGATGAGGATGTCCCTCTGGCAACGCGGGAAGAGGATGAGGAGGTGAAGGACTGGATCCCTGGTGACCATAGTGCGCTGATGCAGGGGCAGATCGCCATGAGGAGGGTGAATGAGGCACGCCAATTGGAGGATGCGGAGATGGACGTCAACGAGGTGCTGGCCGAGCTGTGTGCGCACACAATGCACAATATGGAGTGGCGGGAGTGGCACGTGAACTACGTCGGGGAGTTCGAGGAGGAGGAAAGAGGCAGCCGCTTTATGATGAGGGTACTACGCAGGGTGGAAACAGAAGCATTGGGATGCCATGGGGTGGAAGTCCCGCGAGAACGTCGGCCCATAGTGTGGCTGGGGAGGCGAGGGCTATCAGCTGGGCCCGCCAGTACCGTGATCGCCTGGCACGTATTGCGAGAAGGGAGGTATAAGTCAAAAAACCAAAAACCTAAGCCCAGACCCACACATCCGCCAGTCCTGAACCCGAAACCGTTCACCGGTGTTCTAATATCGGGGCCTGAATGAAAAGAATACGGTTTCGGGGGATATTATGAGGATAATTACAAAGGGACCATACAACCCTGAAAGTACCTGGAAACCTTGTAAAAAATGCAAGAAAAACACACGCCTTCAAAGACATGAAAGGCCCCAAAAGCTTACAAGCCCTGTAAACCTTTCCAGTGATTCCCCTCAAACCCCTCGAACAAACCCCTAAAGGCTCAAACCCTGAACCAAAAACTCCCAAAACCCTAAACCCAAAACACCCAAAACCCCTGAACCCCTAACCCTTTCTGCACCCTTCTGGTCCGGCACTCCTCGGCTAGAAGCGCAACCCTAAACCCCAAAAACCCTACAAATCCTAAATCCTAAACCTAAACCCCAAACCCTGAACCCTAAACCCTAAACTCTAAGCCCTTAAAGCCATAAACCCTAAACCCTAAACCCCAAAGCCTAAGCAACGTGGAGGCTGTGGCTGCTGTGCTCGAGCCCCCACTGGCCGGCGACCTTTTGCCTCGCCTGCTACACGCAGCAGGGCTATGGCTTGAGGCGCCCCCGGTTTAGGGGGTTTAGGGTTTAGGGTTTAGGGTTTGGGGTTTGGGGTTTGGGGCTTAGGGTTTAGGGTTTAGGGTTTAGGGTTTAGGGCTTCAGGAAGTTTAGGTTTGGGCCTTAGGGTTGACATCTTCTGGAAGTCGTATCTTGACGCTAGCCAAGAGGCTATTGTCCCTAAACCCTAAACCTGGGACCCAGAGCAGGCCCTTATTCCTTTTTGTCAGGGTTTAGGGTTTAGGGTTTAGGGCTACTGGGACCCAGACTAGGCCCATTCCCTTTGTTTTAAGTTTAGGCTCCCTTATACACCCTTTTCAAGTAAAAATGGTCACCCTGTTTATGGGCAGAAAGGGTTGGTTACCAGTACTTGCTATCACGGGGCGAATAAGTTCTCAGGTGACGGCCTTATCAGGGTTACCTACACAGGGTTTAAACTTGAGGGCTTGAGCATTGCGACCAACCTGGCAGCGGACAAAGCAGGGTCTCGGTTCCGTCAAGGAAGCCCGGCAAGACTTGGAAATCTCACTGTCTCTGGAGCTTCTAGTTCTTCTGAGATCAGAGGCTTCTACTACAAGGCGAAGCTCTACTCAGTTCCACATGAGGTTGTTGAAGTCGCCCATCACCTCTTGTACAGTGATGCGTTCGATGGCGAAGCTGATGTCGAGTCTGGTCCGGTACGAGCTCATGACTGGCTCTACAAGTCAAGGTTCTCGAGTTCATCGGAGCTAGGACTGCTCTTCCAGTTCGGCTTCTGCGCAGCAGCTCATCAGACTGAGAGGTTGCTTCTTCGACAAGCCAAGGCTGCCAAGGTCGACTGCTTCAACCAAAGATCTAAGACTCCCTAAATACCCTAAACCTTAAACCCTAAACCCTAAACCCTAAAACCCTACAGCCCTGGAGGCCCTAGAAAGCCCATCCGGAGAAACCCAAGTGACCCAGAATGGCCCACGTGCAAGTCTCCCTCGTTCCGCCCAAAACCCGATCAACATTAAACCCTCTAGCCCTCTAGCCCCTAAGCCCCAAACCCCATAAGCCCTAAACCCTATAAGCCCTATAAACCCTATAAGCCCTATAAGCCCTATAAACCCTATAAGCCCTATAAACCCAAAACCCTATACACCCTATACACCCTAAACTTGGAAAGTTCGCCCTTACATACTAGCAGTCCTTAACAGGGAATAAGCAGAGGGGGGTACAACAATCCCTATCAAGGACTGTTAGCATAACGGGGAAAATCCCAACCCCAAACCCTAAACCCTAAACCCTAAACCCCAAACCCTAAACCCCAAACCCTAAACCCTAAACCCTAAACCCTAAACCCTAAACCCTAAACCCTAAACCCTAAACCCTAAACCCTAAACCCTAAACCCTAAACCTCAACCCTAAACCCTAAACCCTAAACCCTATAAGCCCTTAACTGCAGATCTGCATCAATCCTGGCTTCCAGCTGGCATCTTTCTTGGCCTGCGGCCGAGCTTGGGAGGGCCTGCGAGAGGGTCCTAAGGTGTAGGGCTGTATATTGGGATTGGGGCTTAAGGTTTAGGGTTTAGGGTTTAGGGTTTAGGGTTTAGGGTTTAGGGTTTAGGGTGTTGCACTACTTTGCTATATAGGCCCCTGTGACTATCATCTGGCTGGTATTCTGGGGCGATGGATTTGGAAGGGATTTCGAGGTTCTATGGCCATATCCCTGAAAGCCCTATGACACTGCGAACCCAGAGAAATTCATTTCCATACTTACTGTTTCTGAGTAGGGCCTTATCTCTCCTATATAAACCTTTTAGGGGACTGTACAGGATGCCTCATTCCCTCATCTACTAAGAACCAGTCAGTGGGTTAACCACACCACGTTACCTGTCCCTAAACCCTAAACCCTAAACCCTAAACCCTAAACCCTAAACCCTAAACCCAGACTCCGTGAGGTCCATAGATCCCAATAGACCCCCCAAAACACCCTGAAGGCCCTACACGCCCTGGTAAACTGCCACCCACAATATCCACCCCTACATCATTACCCTAAACCCTAAACCCTAAACCCTAAACCCCAAACCCTAAACCCTAAACCCTAAACCCTAAACCCTAAACCCTAAACCCTAAACCCTAAACCCTAAACCCTAAGTGGTCGAGGAGCCGCCCTGGTTGCAGCTGAAATTCTGCGTCGTTTAGGGTTTAGGGTTTAGGGTTTAGGGATTAGGGTTTAGGGTTTCGGGTAACCTAACCCCGAATTCCCACAACACCGTGAACCCTAAAACCCTGCTAGACCCTAACGTGCTGAGCCCTACAACCCTACAGCCCAAAAGCCTGCTAAGCCCTAAATTGCTGACCTCTGAACAGCGTAAGCCCCAAACCCTCTCGCTTTCCAAGCCGCCATAAGGTCCAGCCCTTCTGGAAGGCGCTGGGCTCAGGGAAGTTTGCTTTACCCTATTTTCTCGGAAATCGGGGTTTAGGGTTTAGGGTTTAGGGTTTAGGGTTTAGGGTTTAGGGTTTAGGGTTTAGGGTTTAGGGTTTTAGGCTGCTTAGGAACAGCATGGTGCCCCGGCTCGGGAAATCGGCATAGCACATGTCTTCAAGAGCATATGTTTGTCCCCATTTTTGGCCGGAAAGACACCGTACGGCCTGGCCGCTGAAACTGCAGACGTGCTGTACTGTCCTCATTTGTCTGCGTGGCTTGAGGCCCGGAAATCCGGACGGCACAACAGCTTTTTCTCAGCTAGTGTTCGACTTCAGCCGGGGTCTTATCAATTGGAATTTATCTGAAATTGGTTCCCAGTGCAATTTTCTCTGGTTCTCTTTGAAATCCCTGTTAGATTTCATTTTCTGACCCACCTGAACAACGGCAAAACTCGCTTCGTTCAGGGAGGGCGGTATCTAAACTGGAGTCTTGCTTTTTGTTTTGTTTGATTCTGTTCGGCTTCTTCTCAGTCAGAAGTTTCTAAACATCCAAAGGATAGCATCTCGGTTCTACCCGACCTGAGGCTGTATCCCCATCAGAAGTAGGCACGTCATTGACCATCTTCCATCCCCGGCAGATGTATCCCATGTTTAGGGTTTAGGGTTTAGGGTTTAGGGTTTAAAGTTTAGGGTTTAGGGTTTAAAGTTTAGGGTTTAGGGTTTACAGTTTAGGGTTTAGGGTTTAATTAGGGTTTAGGGGCAGTTAGAGAGTTCCATCCCGACGAGGACTGGATTTTGCGGGTTCCTGGTACGGAAATACCGGATGAAGGTCCCTGCTTAGTCTCTTGACGAATCACACAGGAGGACATACCCTACACCCTAAACCCTACACCCTAAACCCTAAACCCTAAACACTAAACTCTAAAAGAGGAGCATGGGACATCAACCTCGTGGGGACACCAGCAGTCTGCTGCCAGGCTCTCCGGACCTTGCTGCTGGCCCGTGCCGTGTCCCGCTTGGTGCTCTATCCATTCTCCGAGGTGCTTCCCAGACCCCCAACAGTAGAACTCCCAAACAGGTTCAGGGTTTAGGGTTTAGGGTTTAGGGTTTAGGGTTTAGAGTTTAGGGTTGCGCAAGCTTGCCCAGACCCATGGGAGGATCCAACAATAGAACCCGCAAACAGTACCCTTTTCTACTATTGGGTCATTCTAAGGAACCCTTAAGGGGATCTACTTTGTTGGATCCTTCCAGGAATCTGGGTTTTTGCGTTTTGCGAGATCTGGGTGGGGTTTAGGGTTTGGGGTTTTCCTGCAAGTGTAGGTTTTTGGGATATTGGCAGGGTTATGGGCTCCTTCGTCGTTGGGCTTGCTGTATGTCTTGGGACGACGTGCTGGACGACATGCTTCGGGGAAAAAATCACACCCCAAACCCCAAACCCTAAACCCTAAACCCTAAACCAGCGGTGGCAGGTGCAGCACTACATGCCTGAGCACATTGACCTGCAGGCACAGCACCACCGACGCAAACTAAGCCCACCACCCTGAATTGGGGGGGCGGGGGGGGGGTGGGGGGGTTAGGGTTTAGGGTTTAGGGTTTCGGGTCTAGGGTCTAGGGTTTAGGGTCCCTACCAGATGGCCAGGAATAGTAATGAGCCTGGCAGATGGTTTCGCCAGTTCTTCCGAGCGAGTTGCCAGAGCATGAGCTTTGTTGCTGTCGCTAAACACTAAACCCTAAACCGTAAACCCTTAAAGCTGTCTCAATCTTGCGTCCTAGCTACGACACATCATCAGAACTCACATGCTGTCTGCGCCCTACACCCTGAACCCGAAACCAGTAACTATACACTTTTCCGAACCCTAAACCTGATTCTTAAAACAAAGACCAATGCACACCCGAAACTCTAAACCCGACATTCGTAAGTCCTGAATGCCAGAGCACCTAAGCTCCCGATCGCACATTCCGGCTTAAGGCCTTACCGTGCATCGGGTTTTAGCGCCTACGGTGTTTTTGGGGTGGGGGCTTTGGGCGTGTTGAAGGCCCCGAGCGTGAAGCCCTTAAGCGTTTAAAGCACGGAGTTTGGGGTACCTACATCTCCACATGGTACTATCTACAAGTGTAGCCTCCGGAAAGTCAGAAACTCTAGTACCCCTAAACCCTAAACCCTAAACCCTAAACCCTGAAACCCACACCCTAAACCCTAAACCCTAAACCCCAAACCCTAAACCCTAAACCCTAAACCCTGAAACCCACAGGACAAGGGGGAAGAGTGGGTCGTCGGCCAGCTGCGGCGAACCGCCAACCTCAGGCACGAAGGGGCTAAGCGAGAACATCTGTACACACCTCTTGGTTTAGGGTTTAGGGGTTTAGGGTTTAGGGTTTTAGGGGTAGGAATCCCCCCCAACCCCCCCCCCCCCCCCCGCACCAAGAAACAGGAACACATTTCTGAAAGGTGCAACTTGTAATGTGTGTTGTTCAGGCTTCCTCATGCGAGTTGTGCATCTGTAGTATGTACTTGGCATTTAAAGGGATTCCGATATAGTAGCTTACATTTTACGGCGTAGTAAGCTGAGTAGGTGACCTTTAGCCTCTTGGAGTATATGTAACCTTACCCCCTAAGCCCAAAACCCTAAACCCTAAACCCTAAACCAAGGTTAACTTTTTTTGGCCCAAAGTACTCGGCAACTCGGTAGGGGTTTCGGAGTCTTAGGGTTTTCTAAGCTCAGGCGGCCGGGGTTTATGGGTGTTTAGGTCTTCAGCTTGAGATGATCCGCTGACAAACCCTAAGCCCTATAGGCCCGAAAGACCCTAGACCCTAAACCCAAAACCCTAAACCCAAAACCCTAAACCCAAAACCCTAAACCCAAAACCCTAAGCCCTCTGTGGCGCTGGCCCTCCCCAAGCCCCCATTCTAGCTAAGAAGCCAACAAGCGCTTTCTAGGGTGCAGGGATTAGGGAGAGCCAGGGTTGAGGGATCAGGGAGGGTAGAGTTTAGGGTTCAGGGTTTAGAGAGGGTAGAGATTTACCCTCAACCCCAAACCCTAAACCCTAAACCATTTAGGGTTGAGGGTTTAGAGAGCGTAGGGTTTCGGGTCTAGAGTTTAGGGAGTCTTGGTGTCTAATGCTTTAGGGTTGGTAGGGATGCAGCCTAAGCCTTCAACCTTGATCCGCTCTTTGCTGGGGTTTAGGGTTAGGGTTTAGGGTTTAGGGTTTAGGGTTTAGGGTTTAGGGTTTAGGGTTTAGGGTTCAGGGTTCAGGGTTTAGGGTTTAGGGTTTAGGGTTTAGGGTTTAGGGTTTAGGGCTTTTCGCGCCAGGTTCCTCTCATGGCCTGTGTGGCTGCTGGACTTCCTCATGTTCCATGGTGCGCGCCCCAAGCCCTAGAAACCCTGTCAGGGCTTAGGGTTTAGGGTTAGGGTTTAGGGTTTAGGGTTTAGGGTTTAGGGTTTAGGGTTTAGGGTTTAGGGTTTAGGGTTTAGGGTTTAGGGTTTAGGGTTTAGGGGTTAAGGTTTTTGGGCTTACCCTAAGTACCCAGGTACCTATATATACTTGGGCCCTGAGGCTACTATTTTACGGCCCGTAGGTGTCGGGGCTTAAGGTCTGGGCTCATTTCTGGACCAGCTGGTGCTGGGTTTATCGAAACCCTCGCACCTCTTCAACAAAGCCGAGGCTTGGCGCTTTAGGCTATAGGGTTTAGGGTTTAGGGTTTTTGGGTTTAGGGTTTAGGGTTTAGGGTTTAAGATTTTTAGGTACAGGGCGCGCCAAAACCCCAAGCCCTGAATCGTAGCCCTCCATGGGGTTGCCTTGAAGTTCCCCTCAGCTCGGACTTACAACCCCTTGTAGGGCTAGGGAAGCTTCTGCGGCAGCTCTCCAAGTGCATGCACGCCCCCCATTCCGCGAACTCCACGGCGGAGACCGAGTGATCACACTTTGCAATGTGCTTCGTGACGATCAGTTCCTGGTCTCGGACATGGCTGTCGTAAATACTTCGAATGCGGCCATCATCTTCGAGACGATCTTCCGACAGGCCAGCAGCGCCTCGGAGCTGGGCCGAGCACCAGGCGTGGGATGAGCCGACGTCGGGCCAGCAGCAAGACGACAAGCCGGGGAAAGACACCCGAAGCAGCCGAAGCAGAAAAACGACGAGCATGAGAAGCAGAAAGCTTGGGAAAACTATGTGGACGAACATGGGGGCCAATGCAATGACAGATCATGGATCGGGCTGAAACTCGAACCCCCGCCACCAGTGCCACCACCGGCAGACCCTCCCCTTGAGGGACCCTTCTTCACAGCACAATATACATAAAACCTAAGCCCTGTGGGCCCTAACCCTCCTTCAGTATATAGGCTTCCATGAACTGTAACCCTTTAGACCCCCATAATACCCCAGATGCCTCCAAAGCCCTAAACCCTCTGAACCATGCCCACTAAGCCCGAACCCCCTAAACCCAGCAAGTCTCATCCCTGCTGAGCCCAGAAGCACTCTAAACCTCTCCAACACACCCTATACACCCTAAATCCGAAACCCCAGAGAAGCGTAGGCCCTAGCCCTGAGGCTCAAAATAGCACCAAAACCTTGTACAAGAAGGCCTTTGTGCCCCAAAAAAGCCTAAGCCCTAAACCCTAAGCCCTACCCTAAACCCTAAACCCTAAACCTTAAACCCTAACAAATAAGAGTCCTTACAGCCTTAAGTTCTAAGCCCGCTGGCAGGGGACAGCCATCAGATCGAGCACCACCTTTGGCCAGCCACAGCCTCTGCACCAAGGGTTTAGGGTTTAGGGTTTAGGGTTCAGGGTAAGAAGGACCCCAACAAGGAGATTTGTTTTGTTGTTTGGGGCCTGTGGTTAAAGCCCACTCCCAAAACCCAAATCCCTAAACCCCAAGCCCTGAGCCCTAAACCCTAAACCCTGAACCCTAAACCCTCAACCCTGAACCTTCTGGGTTTTGGCCTCTGGGGCTGTGGCGGTACCACTCAGAGGCCTATAGCATGGGTACCTGGTAGCAGGACAGCTGGGCCTTGGTACTCCGAAGGTACTGAAGGAGGGACCCTTACAAGGGACCTTAGGGTTTAGGGTTCAGGGTATAGGGTTTCGGTTTTAGGGTTTAGGGCTACTTAGGTATACAGGGACTATACAAGGTGTATATATTTTTTCGGGGTTCTTTATAGGGGAGCAAGATTACAGAAACCAAAGGTCCCTTCTAGGGGTCCCTCCTTATACCCCGTAAGATCCTGAAGGTTCTTGGCCCTCGGGGCTTAGCGCTTAGTAGGGGCTTGGTTTGGGGTTTAGGGTTGAGGGTTTAGGGCTTAGTAGGGTTTAGGGTTTAGGTTGGGGTTTAGACATCCGGCTTCTGAGATACATCGGTGGAAAACAAGCTTAAGGCCATGAGCTTTGTCCTAAACCTGCAAACCTGAGCCCTAAGCCCTAAAGCCTAAACTCCTAAACCCTAAACCCCTGAACGCCTAAACCCCTAAACCCTAAATCCTCAACCCTAAACCCTAAACCCTAAAAAACCCTGCCCGCCCAACGAAAACAAGCTTAAGGCCATGAGCTTTGTCCAATACCACCGGGCCTCCCGTGTGGTGAAAACCACCTGTGCCGATCTGGGTCTGCCTTGGGGCCCAGGGGCTGTCGGACTGGGTTTTTAGGGTTTAGGGTTCAGGGTTTAGAGTTCAGGGTTTAGGGTTCAGGGTTTAGGGGGGAGGATGGATTTGGGGGGGCGGGGGGGAGGGTTAGGGTCTTTAGGGTGTCTAGGGTTTTTTGGGTTTTCAGCTTTGCGTCAGGGCTTCTAGAGTTTTTGGGGCCTTTAGGGTTTTTCGGGGTTTTCAGGGGGTAGGGAGTTTGGGCCTTAGCTACAGGCTCACTGTTCTAGGGGACTTGGGTCCTACACAAAACGTGTTGATTTGGTACTCATTTACATTTCTTGGGGACGTGTGCATCCACACCCAAACGCCTGACCCCAAAGAATAGAACACGCCAAATAAGAAGAGTAGTAAGAATAATCTGTGAACACAGTATGGTGCGCAACAATGAATGAATCAGAATGATCGAGCTGAACATAACAGTCATCTTTTCAATCACAATCAGAACCATCATAGAAGTATTGTCTGGTACGCAACTAATCGCTGGACCTCACTGACCTTGCAGAAGCTCACGCAGCCACGAAATTGTCAACCCACCAGTTAAACCCTAAACTCACCCAAAAGTCCCAAACCCAGAGCCCTAAACCCAATCAACTGAGCCAAGGCCGTACCACAGTGTTGGCAGAGACCTCAGTGGGGCCTCGAAAAAAGTGCCTAAACCTAAACCCTACAGGGTGGGGCCCCCTTACTATACTAACTGTAGTTAAGGGACTTATAACCTAACTTAGGGTCCTTATAACCCAATTTAGGGCCCTTATAACTCTACTTATAACTAGGGGGCCTAAACCCTAAGCCCCTAACTGCGAAGGATTTAGGGCTCTAAAAGTTTTGGCTCTTCGCGTTCAAAGCTCCTTTTCGCTTGAAGGCGTGCGCTTGTCAGTGTGTCCCGCCCCACAAACCTAAACCCTAAACGCTTAACACCTCAATTCTTTAATCCTCTCGACCCCGAAACCCCTAAAAATCCTAAAGCCCCAATCTTGAAGCCCCTGAACCTCTAAACCCGCAGCCCCTTCTCCTGGATGATGCCAGAGGCTATTGGGATGGGTACCGGAAGATCTTGGGTCAGGCGGCTGCCAGCTGCGTGGATCCACTTGCACTCCAAAAGGATCTTAAAAGAGTATTGACTTCAGTTCCCTAAACCCTAAAGCCTAAGGCCTAAGCCCTCGTCCCTAAATCCTAAACGCCCCGAACCCCTATTACTTTAGGGCTTGGGGTGAAAGGACCCCAAAACACTGAAGCAACCCGCATGCCCTGAACCTGGTGAGCACTACTCTGCCCGTTGTAAGCTGCACCAGCAAACTCTGCCAAACATGTGATATGTGAACCCTAAACCCTAAACCCCCTAAACCCCCTAAACCCCCTAAACCTCCTAAACCCCCTGAACCCCCTAAACCCCCTAAACCCCCTAAACCCCCTAAACCCTAAACCCGAGTCATCTACTCCTTGGCCCGTTCAAGACTTAAGACCCGTGGGACCCTTAGCCTGAAACCGAAATGCCGGAGCCCAAAACCCTACCAAACCCGGGACTTTGAGAACCCCAACACCCCCAAACCCTGTAAAAAACACAAAAACCCTGGTAAGGCCCATAAACCCCATTTAGGGTTTAGGATTTAGGGTTTAGGGTTCAGGGTTTAGGGTTTAGGGTTTAGGGTTTAGGGTTTAGGGTTCCCAACAAACCCAAAACTCTTACCCCAGAGTCCGAAGCTGCAACTACGTGCAGATTTCGGAGCACGCCGCGCCCGGCACCCCCGGCGGCGGTCGAGCGGGGTACGCGGAGCCCAGTGCGGGGTTTAGGGTTTAGGGTTTAGGGTTTAGGGTTTAGGGTTTAGGGTTTAGGGTTTAGGGTTTAGGATTTAGGGGTAGGGTGCGGGGAACAACGTAAGAACCCTCAAAGACCCTCTATGGCCCCCCAAGACCTAGCACCAAAGCCTGCCAAAACTCCTCAAATATAGCGGTGCCCTCCGTTTCTTCTTTGTGGTTAGTAGGGAATGAGGTACCCTATCTAGGATGCCCAGTACTACCCTTATTCCTTTTCTGGGGGGTTTAGGTTCCCTTATAAACCCCTTTAAGCAAAAAAGGGCACCCTTTTTAAGCCTAGGTTACTGGGCAGCGTAGCTATAGGGGGACATAGGGTACCTCATTCCCTCATTCCCTGCTAACCAACAGTAAGCTTCGTGGTCAGGTTTTCGGTTCCCGTGAACAGTCCCACACAACGCGAAACAAGAAGCTTTCCCTCTCCAATCCTAGAGATCCAAAAGCCGCTCTAAACCCGAAACCCTAATCCCCCCTAAACCCTAAACCCTAAACCCTGAACCCTAAACCCTAAACCCTAAACCCTAACCCCTCCTAAACCCTAGACTGGGTGGATCCTAAGTAATCTTCAATCCTTAGGGGGTTTGCGGATTAGGCGGTTTGCGGATTAGAACATTACGGATTACAACGGTTTGCGATTAGACGCTTCATTAGTCGGCTACTACCAGTTAGCAGTGTTTGCGTTCTGTGCTTGGTTGCTTCTGTGAAACGACGGAAAACAATGAAATTAAGAAAGTTAGCGACGCAACGACGGAAAAAATGACGGGAAATAAGCCTGACAACCCCGAACCCTAAACCCTCCACTGCTCACCGGCGTGCACTTCGTCGTCTTCATCGTCTCCCTCGGCGACGAGGCACCTTTGGGTGGGAGGGGTTAACCCTAAACTCTACCACCCAAACTCCAAACCGCGGTTGACTTGTAAAGGGTTAACCCACTAGGAGGGTCACTTTAAAAGGAAACTTTGATCCAGTGGCATAGCGGTTGGGCTCTGACCCATCAGCCCTGAGCTCGAATCCCCAAAGCAGCTTTTTGGAATCTTGATTGGGAGGGTCAAGGGGAGGGTCTCCAGGTCGAAGCCGAAAAAAGGTGCCTTTTACCTAGCCCGCAGCGAAAAGGTCAGCGAAAAGGTACCTTTTTTGGAGTCTTTGGTTCTGCTGAAGCCGAAAAAAGGTACCTTTTCGCTCGCCCGCAGCGAAAAGGTACCTTTTTTGGAGTCTTTGGCTTTGCTGAAGCCGAAAAAAGGTACCTTTCGCTCGCCCGCAGCGAAAAGGTACCTTTTTTGGAGTCTTTGGCTCTGCTGAAGCCAAAAAAAGGTACCTTTCGCTCGCCCGCAACGAAAAGGTACCTTTTTTGGAGTCTTTGGCTCTGCTGAAGCCGAAAAAAGGTACCTTTTCGCTCGCCCGCAGCGAAAAGGTACCTTTTTTGGAGTCTTTGGCTCTCCTAAGCCGAAAAAAGGTACCTTTTACCTTTTTTGGAGTGTTTGGCTTTGCTGGACGCGAAAAAAGGTACCTTTCGCTCGCCCGCAGCGGAAAGGGTACCTTTTTTGGAGTCTTGGGCTCTGCTGAAGCCGAAAAAAGGTACCTTTCGCTCGCCCGCAACGAAAAGGTACCTTTTTTGGAGTCTTTGGCTCTCCTAAGCCGAAAAAAGGTACCTTTTACCTTTTTTCGAGTGTTTGGCTCTGCTGAAGCCGAAAAAAGGTACCTTTTTTCGCGTTCAGCAAAGCCAAACACAAGGTAAAAGGTACCTTTTTTCGGCTTAGGAGAGCCAAAAGACTCCAAAAAAAGGTACCTTTTCGCTGCGGGCGAGCGAAAAGGTACCTTTTTTCGGCTTCAGCAGAGCCAAAGACTCCAAAAGAGGTACCTTTTCGTTGCGGGCGAGTCAAAAAAGCTTTTTTCGGGTTCACTCTTCGTTGCGGGCGGCGAAAAGGTACTTTTTGCGGCTTCAGCAGAGCCAAAGACTCCAAAAAAGGTACCTTTTCGTTGCGGGCGAGCGAAAGGTACCTTTTTTTGGCTTCAGCAGAGCCAAAGACTCCAAAAAAGGTACCTTTTCGCTGCGGGCGAGCGAAAAGGTACCTTTTTTCGGCTTCAGCAGAACCAAAGACTCCAAAAAAGGTACCTTTTCGCTGACTTTTTCGCTGCGGGCTAGGTAAAAGGCACCTTTTTTCGGCTTCGACCTGGAGACCCTCCCCTTGACCCTCCCAATCAAGATTCCAAAAAGCTGCTTTGGGGATTCGAGCTCAGGGCTGATGGGTCAGAGCCCAACCGCTATGCCACTGGATCAAAGTTTCCTTTTAAAGTGCCCCTCCTAGTGGGTTAACCCTTTACAAGTCAACCGCGGTTTGGAGTTTGGGTGGTAGAATTTAGGGTTAACCCCTCCCACCCAAAGGTGCCTCGTCGCCGAGGGAGACGATGAAGACGACGAAGTGCACGCCGGTGAGCAGTGGAGGGTTTAGGGTTCGGGGTTGTCAGGCTTATTTCCCGTTATTTTTTCCGTCGTTGCGTCGCTAATTTTCTGGTTACATCGCCGCCGCCACACCGCTGCCACCACCGCACCGTCACCGCGACCGCACGGCCACACCGCCCGCGGCCGCCGCTCACCGCCCCTCAGATGAGCAACTCCCCAGATGACCGCCACGGCCACCGCTCCGCCGGCGGACACCCAGATGACCACCACGGCCACCGCGCACCGGGGCCTTTCCAGCCTTCCAGCACAGAAGCAAGCAAAACGGCTACTAACCAACCCCCCTCCCCCAATTTGCCTCGGGCAATATTAGTAGTGATTTTGGGGCCTTCTCACCACAGAAGCAAGCAAAACGTTAGTAGTAATTTTGTGGCCTTCCCAGCACAGAAGCAACAAAACGGCTGCTAACCAACTCGCCCCCGCCCCCCCTCTGCTAGCAGTGATTTTTAGGACCTTCCCAGCACAGCAGCAAGCAAAATGGCTACTAACCACATTCCCTGAGATAGAGAGACGGATAGCGGTTTAGGAATGGATCCAGGCAACGGATTACGGATTAGGACACATTGACCCACCAACGCGGATTAGGCGGATAACGGATTGCGATTAGCCCGTTTTTCTTATCATCCACCCAGCTAGATAAACCCTCTTGTTTGGGGGGGGGGGCTTCAGATCCGCAAGGGCTAGGACGCCGGGACTGCAAGAGCTTTGCGATTGGGCTTCGATGGTAACTTACCCAGGGCATCGCACATTGACAATACATCAATGGAACTTTCGGGTTTAGGGTTTGGGGTTTAGGGCTTGAAGAAAGCAAAACTCTATTGGTTTTCGGTTTTTCGATTTTGTTCAATGGAAGCCATGATGGCATGGTCTTCTTTTTTTTCGCATTTTTTCGCTGGCTTTTTCAGTATGCATTCGCTTGATTTTACAATTGCTTTCCCTATTCATTTTGAATGCCTTCCCCTATTAATTTGTCCATTGATGTTGATGGCTTTCCCCATTGATTTTCTATGAAGTTTTCAAAGGGCTCGGTTGCTCTGACTGTAATGATTGCTCCATTGATTTTCGTGGAGGAGGTTAGCAGGTTAGGACGATGAAGAAGAGCCTGCTAAGCAAGCAGGGGATGGATTGGAAGGGTTTAGGGTTTAGGGTTCAGGGTTTCGGGTTTAGGGTTTAGGGTTTAGGGTTTAGGGTTTAGGGTTTTTGGGTTTACGTGTCCGAGCAGCAAAGGACCTGGTTGTCACGGCCAGGGCTCTTTAGGTCGAAGTGACTCAGAATTGCCTGGAAGGAGAACGTGATAGTTGTAGGACCTTAGGATTGTTTTGTATAAGCTTCTTTTGGTGATAGTTGTAGGACCTTAGGACGGTTTTGTAAAACCCTAAGGGTCCATGAACCTTTATGGTGTCTACGTGGGCCTTGAGAATGGGCACTGTTTGGGGAGCCTCTTTAATGTCCTAGCCCCCGGGCCCTGGATTTCGAAAAATCATATGGACCTTGTTGAAAGTCACATAATCTCAACGCTTTCGAAATCATATGGATGCCTTTTTCTATTTAGAGTCCTCCCTATCACAATTATATAAAGCCCGTGGACCCGCGGATCTTGCGGGATAGGCTGCGGAAGCGCTACCTCTCCGACACAGCTGCATCTCCTGACAGCAACCGACTGGCCGAGGACCGCGCCTGCTGCTTCAGTATCATACTAGGTACCCTTGAGACATTTAAAATTTTATGTTCTCCCTTCTTGGGTTTAAGAGGATGATATGTAGGAATATTTGTTCAAAGGTCTTAAAGGCCATCCTATAATGTGGAGGTTTCCGAAATTAGGGGTACCTTACTGGGGTCCTTATTAACTATAAGGGAATCCGGGAATCCTACTCTTTAGGGGACTATAGTGAGTGTGTATATTGGGTGTATGTTTTGGGATGCAGGCAATAAACACCTTACCTCATGCTCACAAACTCGTGCTGTATGCATGCTTCTTGTCAGGGCCAGCATGGTACGGCCAACATGGTACCCTAAACCCAAAAGGCAGCCCTAAACCCCAACGACCCAAACTCCAAGCCCGAAGCCCTAAACCCTCAACCCTAAACCCCCAAGCGCAGCCTTGAGCCCAAGTTGTTGCCGGTGCGTCAGGAGCCTGACTTGACCATCCGACCGGAGTTCCCTCGGAGGTGCAGTGTTGGGAGCCCCCTCATCATGGGTTCTCCTGCTACCCCCCTCTATACTTCCTCCCCCCCCTAGGTTCCCCCTACAATTGTGGCTATTTAGGGATAACTCAGGCCCAATGAATAACGTCCAAGGGGGGGGAACCTCGCGGGGGGGGGGGGGGGGGGAGGGGAAGGTAGTTTAGAGGGGGGTAGTAGGGAAGATGAACTGCAAGGCGTTCTCCCCAATCCCCAAGCCAATCCCACAAGCCTAAAGCCTAAAGCCCAAAGCCCAAACCCTAAACCCTAAACAAATAAACCCTAAACCCTAAACTCTAAACCCTCAACCCTAAACCCTAAACCCTAAACCCTAAACCCTAAACCCTAAACCCTAAACCCTAAACCCTAAACCCTAAACCCTAAACCCTAACCTTAAACCCTAAACCCTACCCACCAACGAGCTGCGCAGGACTCGCCGGAGGACGACCGGCTCCAGTTCCAGTGCCTCCGACGCGGGCTGAGTGACAAAAGAGAGCTCACAGCCCTAAACCCTAAACCCTCAACCCTAAACCCTAGACCCTAGACCCTAAACCCTAAACCCTAAACCCGAAGAGTTTGTGGAGCCTAAACCCCAAATCCTCAACCCAAAGCTTTCCAAGACTTTGGGCTGAACCGAACCAGATACTTTGTAAGCCCTAAGCCCTTGAACTTACTTGGGGTTGAGGGTTTAGGGTTTAGGGCTAGGCACCTTGTATTCCCCCTTCTAGCACCCGTTGCAACTAGAGCGCGCCTCATTTTTCGATTTCCTGCTAGCAACCACCAAGCAAAGAGCAACCAGAACTCCTTCGCAGAATTGAAGATCTTCCGCGCGAAATGCTGGATCATCCTCTTCGCAGACTTCTTGTCCATGCCCTGGTGAGGGCTTTGGGCTTAGGGTTAAATTTGGGTTCAGGGTACAGGGTTTTTGAAGCCATGTAAAGCCGAAGTCCTATTCCGAACCTGCCCCTACAAAGTATCCGAGCAGTTACCTGTACCGCATTGAGGTTGATGCCAGTTATGCGCCGTTTCTGTGACTCTTTATCGTTTAAGGTGCCAAAAGAGTCCAACGCTTGGTCAACCCCCACGTGGTCAACCCCACGTCGTAACCCGCCCGTATACTCTTTACTTTGGGGTCAGAGACAAGTACTTGCGGCACTTTAGGGGCTTAGGGACATCTTGAAAGCCCCACAGCCCAAGTCCAAGCCCCGAGAAATCGGACATCCTAAAACTTGAGGCCCCGCTACATCTCAAACTCCGTCATCCTGGGCTACCCTAAACACTAAACCCGAAACCCTCAAGCCCAAACCCTAAACCCTGGACCCCAAGGTGAGTAGGGCATTGGCGTAGAAATCCTCCAATGCAAGTCTCAAGAATCCTAAACCCTTGGCCACGACAGAAGATGGTGAGTATTAATAGGGTTTAGGGTTTAGGGTTTAGGGTTTAGGGTTTAGGAGTATGAGTATAGTGCTTCTGTCAAAATACTTCGTATTGAGGACTGTTACGATGAAGTCGGAAAACATCAAAAGTTCAGGGTCTAGCAGCGGTGCACGTTCTGTTTGATGAGAAGATACCGTTGAAAAACAAAAAGTTTGGGGTTTTCAAGGTAGGCTTTAGGGTTTAGGGTTTAAGGTTTAGGGTTTAAGGTTTAGGGTTTAGGGTTTAGGGTTCCCTTTTTCAGGTTTGCTTCCTCGTTCACCCTAAGCTCTAAACCCCCTGCAAGGCTTTGGAGAGAGTCTCGAGCTCCTTGCTGAAGCGAGAAATCAAGTTTTGCGCTGACATGGTTCCTTGCCGGCCGGCGCTTCCTCCTTTCCAGCGGGGTTTAAGGTTTAGGGTTTGAAAGTTTAGAGTTTAGGGTTTAGGGTTTGAAAGTTTAGGTTCTAGGGTTTAGGGTTTAGAGTTGTTTTCATGAGCTTGGTTCCTGTTTTCGCTCCTGGGTGCCCACGTTGCTTCTGGAGACGGTGCGATTTCTGTAGCATGACGAGGACCTGCAAGCGAGCGCAGCGGTGTCCATGACAAAACTGCTGTGTGACCAGACACACCGGCTGGCCGAGGCAGCCTTGCCATGGAAGCAAGTGTGAAACGTAGTCGTTTTCTTTTCCTTTATGTGGCTTTGCCAGTGAAGCTGGCCAACACAAAGGTGCACCAGAGTCGCCATGATGAGGATGAAGATGAAGAAGATGAAGAAGAAGAAGAATACGACGACGATTATGATGATCATGATGATCATGATGATGATGATGATGATGATGATGATGGTGAGATTGTAGGTGCCGGAATTCAGGGATGTAGGGTTTAGGGTTGAGCGTGTCAGTGGCCTCCAGGGCAAGGCATGACTGGCTGGCTGCTGCTTCGTCTTCGGAACCCTGTGGCGCGGGTTTAGGGTCCAGGGTTTAGGGTTTAGGGTTCAGGGTTTAGGGTTTACGGTTTAGGGTTTAGGGTTTAGGGTGAGCTTCCAAGGAGGCACTGTCCTCTTGTATACCCCAAACAGAGAGAAGTATCCCCGTAAAGCTGAATCGACACTAGACTAGGAGTGTCATTGGTCCGCAAGCCTGGTAAAACCCCATAAGCCCTAAACCCAACCCTTCCCCCCCCCTCCCCCCCCCCAAACCCTAAACCCTAAACCCTAAACCCTAAAACCCTAAACCCTACACCCTAAACCCTAAACCCTAAACCCTAAACCCTAAACCCTAAACCCTAAACCCGGAACCCTGACCCTAAACCCTAAACCCTAAACCCTAAACCCTAAACCCGAGTTTCATCTTCAGGAGTGCGCGGCGCTTGCGATTTCCATCCCGGAACTTCGACGAGGACGCCAGCTCCCCGGTCTTTGGGTTTAGGGTTTAGGGTTTAGGGTTTAGGATTTAGGGTTTTGGGTTTAGGGTTTCGGGTTTCGGGTTTAGGGTTTAGGGTTTAGGGATGTAGGGTTTTAGGGTTTAGGTGTTTGGGGGGGTTAGGTTACTTTAGGGGTTTGGGGTTTGGGTTACTTTAGGGGGTTTTGGGGTTTAAGGTTCAGGGGCTTGGGGTTTAGGTTAGTTTAGGGGTCTTTGGGGTTCAATGGTCAGGGGTTTGGGGTTTAGATTAGTTTCGGGAGTTTTGGGGTTTATTAGGGCTTTAGGGGTTTAGGGATTTAGGGATTTAGGGATTTAGGGGTTTAGGGGTTTAGGGTGTAGGTTAGTGTTCAGGGGTCAGGGGCTTAGAGGTTCAGGGGTCTAGGGCTTAGGGGTTTCGGGGCTTAGGGGTTCAGGTGTTAAGTCTTTGGGTTCGGGTGTAGGGGGTTTTAGGGTCTAGGGGCGTTTGGGTTCTAGGGGTTTTTGGGGTTTTAGTAGGGGTTAAGAGCTTCGGTTGGGGTATAGGGGTTTTGGTGTTTAGAGGTTTAAGGGGTTTATTTAGGGTTGTGGGATTAGAGGGTTGATTGTGGGGCACTATAAGGCCTAGTCGCCCACCCCCGAACACCGCGGACCCGAAAATGTGCTCTCATCGCATGGCGCGAACCGGCTGCGCTTGCTGCTTGCACCTGACGCAAGAAGATCGCCCTCATACTGCAAAACCCTAAGCCCTGATCCTAAACCAAAAAACCCTTAACCCTAAGCCCTGAGCCCTAAACCTTGAGCCCTACACCCTAAACCCTAAGCCCCCAACCCTGAGCCCTAAACCCTGAGCCCTAAACCTTAAGCCCTGAGCCGTAAAGCTTAGATGGGCTGCCTGGAGTCGATTATTATTACTATTTATTATTATTATTATTATTAATACTGTTACTATCACTACTACTATAATAATAATAATTATTATTATTACTATTACTATTACTACCATTATTATTCATATTAGTTTTATTCCTATGATTATGGTTATTATTACTATTTCTATTAGTAATAGAAATAGTAGCTATTAATTTATTCCTATTATTATTGTTATTGTTGCTATTTCTAATAGTAATAGAACTAGTAACTATTATTATTGTGAGAGAGCAGCTAGATCTCCAAGGTCATCGACTGGTACCACAGCAACACCATCGAGGCGGCACTCTCTCCAGACACCAATGAGCTCAAGGGGCCTTTTAGGGTTTAGGGTTTAGGGTTCAGGGTTTAGGGTTTAGGGTTTAGGGTTTAGGGGTTAGGGTTGTAGGGCTTTTGGGGTCTTAGCTTTTGGGGGGAAGGGTTTAGGGGTCTAGGGCCGAGGGTTTAGCGCTTAAGATGATCAGGTTTTCATCTTCATAGAGATGACAAGGGGCGAGCGAGAGAGAGAGAGAGAGAGAGCGCGCGAGAGAGAGAGCGCGAGGGAGAGAGGGAGAGAGAGAGAGAGAGCGCGAGGGCGAGAGAGAGAGGGAGAGGGAGAGGGAGAGAGAGAGGGAGACAGAGAGAGAGAGAGAGACTGACAGTGGCCTTTCGGATGTGTTTGCATGTCTCTTCTTGGGTTGACGAGGATCTGATGTGGGAATACTTCTTCAGACTCTATACCCGACACCCCACACCCGAGACCCTCCCCAGACAAGGAACTACAATTGCTTGTCTCGGCATCCGCGAAGCGCACCCACAGGACCTTAGTATCAATTCGTTGCTCTATAGGATTTCTTCAAGGGTGATACACGTATGTAGTTCGCCCTAAACCCTACCCTGAACCCTAACCCGAAAACTAACCCTAAACCCTATAAACCCCAAACGGGCGAGGAACGCGCGGCATGAATGAAATAACAATTGGGGCTTTTACAACCTTGAGACCCTAACTCTCATCGTCTGGTTCTCCCTTCACGGGTCAGTAAGATGTAACCACTACACACCCCAGAATCTGACTTACGGATAAACTCCCCTTTAAAATATTGTGCAGTTGTAAGTTCACGCACGAAATGCAACATATTCTTATGTGCGCTTCTCCTTGTCTCACGATTACTGCGTTTACTTGCAACATTCGTTCGCGCGTTTTCTGGTAACATTCTTATATATTTGCAATTGAATTGATGTTTTGGGGAGTTGTTAGGGTCCTGTATTGCCCCCCCTTACAAGAACTTACTTCTAATGTTTACTGATGATGGAGAAAAAAACGCCCCATGTAAAGATAGTATAATTAGGTCTTTGAATCACCAGTGAACACCATGAACAAAGTGCTCGAAACAAGTTCGTTCATGCCCCCATAAAAGCCGCATAATATTCATTCATGCGGCTTCTCCAGTAGCTAGACCGCTATCATCCTCTTCTTGCCCATTCAGAATACTATTTGCGTGCACTTACCCTGATAATTCATGCGTCTCACGCAGTATGAAGGGAGTTCCCTTCTAATTACATATATCCACCAATACCCTTAATTAGGGAAGATAAACTATATAGAGGATCCCTCGTATGATTTAAGGCACATTCCCGAAGTAAGGGCCTCTTTGGGTCATTATGCACACAAAATTCGCTGCTCTGAGCTGCGCGCCCTCCCCGCATTGGGGATGCCGATGGAGCCGCTATGAAGTGCATGGTTTGCCTAAGCCTTTTTTTGTTTA